TCGTCTCCAATTTAGCCAACTTGCCATTTGTCGTCTTTTTTGTCTCCGAGGCCTTGTTCCGTTCGTATAAAGAGCCCTTTTCGAGCTTGCGACTCGTTGTTTGAGCTTCCTTGAACTTTAAACTTTTCCACTCACAATTATCTTTGCAAAAAAATTTAAAAGTGTGGATTTTGAATGTCACAATAGCTAGAGTTGATTGTTTATGTCATACAAATAAATTATTCTAATAAGGTTCTTTCTTTTTAACTTATAAAGCATACAGCAAATACATTCGGTAAAAGCATGGTAGAAAAAAACATAAAAGATTAAATAATGGATTGATAGCTTGATTTGCTTAGTTTGATCAAAAATTTCCAAAGCTGAGTTGGTTTTTGAAGTAACTTGACATATTTTAAAAGTGCACAGCTTTGAAAGCTTGCTGAGAAAAACTTTAATTTTTTTTTGCGAGCTGATTTAGTCCTCGAAATTTCTGGCAACTTCCCAAAGTTTCATAGCTTTCTTCGAAAATTACAGCTTTTCGCGAACTGATTGGATCTATGAAATAACTTGAAATATTACAATGTTTCATAGCTTTAAACTGACTAGGAAAAACTTGAAATTTTTGTGAACAGATTCGATCTACGAAAACAATTGAAGGAATCAATTTTAATTTAGCTTCAATAGAAAACTTAGAGCTTTTCCCGTACTGACTCGGTTTATGAAATAACTTGAAGTTTTCAAAGTTGCATAGCTCTATTAGCTTGTATTAAATGAATGACACGTTTTCAGCATCAGGCCTAATGTTTAAGCGGTTATCGAGCACAACGTTTGAAACGGCTGAGATCAGTAGTTTAAGAATCACTCAGAGCAAGAAACAGAGCGAGATGAACTCGATTCAATTTTACGGCTAGGCAGCACTTGCCCATTTTTTGTCCAAAAAATTGCGTTTACAGATTCATTTCAGTCTGGAACGAATCACTTAAAAACAGCAACCTCTATGCTAAGAAAAAAAAATTTTGCAAACCGGCTCGGTCTATGAAATAACTGGAAATGTTTCAAAGTTCCATAGCTTGAAAAGCTTGCCGAGAAAAACTTAAACTTTTCGTGAAATGATTCAGTCTACAAAATAACTAGAATTAATTCATAATTTCATAGCTTCTACAGCTTGCTTAGAAAAACTGAAAATTTTCGGTTACCAATTCAGTTTATAAAATAACTTGAAATTATATAAAATTTCATAGCTTGATGAAAATCTTGCGTAGAAAAACTCAATTTTTTCGCAAACGGTTCAGTTTATGAAATAACATGAAATAATTGAAGGTTTCATAGCTTTAAAAGATTGCTTAGAAAAACTTCAATTTTTATGCGAACCGATTTGGTCAACAAAATAACTTAAAAGTTTCAAAGTTTCTAAGCTGCTTAGAAAATTTTTTTTTCACAAATTGATTCGGTTTATGAATTAACTTGAAGTTTTTCAAAATTTATAGCCTAAAAAGCTTGCTTAGAAAAACTTGAATTCATAGCGAACCGATTCGGTCTACAAATTAACTTGAAATAATTTGAAGTTCCATAGCTTTGAACCTTGCTTAAAATAAATTAAATTTTTTGCGAACCAATTTCCTCAATAAAATCTCTTGGAAAAAATCAAAGTTTCATAGCCTCCACAATTTGCTTAGAAAAAGTTAAGCTTTCTGCGAACCAATTTGGTCTATAAAATAACTTGAAATAACTTCATACCTTCAAAATTTTAGTTAGAAAATTTCCATTTTTTTGCAAAACAATTCAATTCAGTCTATGAAATAATAGGTAATAAAACAAAATGTCCTAACTTTAAAAGCGTGCTTAGAAAAACGACTTAGCTTTTGTGAAAGATTCGGTTTACAAGATAACTTGAAAGACTTCATGTTTTATTATCTTGATTAGCTTGCTGAGAAAACTTTCAAACTTTTCGCGTACTGATTCGGCTTATGAAATGACTTGGACTATTTCAAAAGTTGCCTATCTCTATTAGCTTGCCTAGAAGAGCTTAAATTTTTCGCTTTTAACATTTGCTTTGAAAAACATAAGCTTTCTGCAAACCGATTCGGCCTATAAAATAAATTTAAATAACTTGAAGTTTAATCGCTTCAAAATTTTGCTTAGAAAACTCTTTTTTTTTGCAAAACGATTCAGTCTATGAAATGATTTGTAATAAAACAAAAAGTCATATATTTAAATACAAAGTTTTTGTGAAAGATTCGGTATACGAAGTAACTTGAAAGAATTCATGTTTTATTATCTTGATTAGCTTAATGAGAAAACTTCTAAATTTTTCGTGTGCTGATTCGGTTTATTAGCTTGTCTAGAGGAGCTTAAATTTTTCGCAAACTGAGACAAGACAGTCTATGAACTTACTCATGAAGGTATTTTTTAAGTCTCGTAGTTTTTGAAGTTTCGAAGAGCTTCAATTTTTCGAATAGCTTGCTTAAAGAAAATTTTTGCGAACCGATTTGTTTCATTGAAAAACTTCAATTACGTCAAAGTTTCATAGGTTCAATAACACCAGAAAAACAGTTTGCCATACGGTCAACTTTTTGAAAAAATTTGAATTATTTTAAGTTTCATAGCTTAAACAGCTTCCTTAGAAAAACTTATTAGTCTATAAAACATCTGGAAATAACTCAAAGTGTCATAGCTTAATAGTTTGCTTCAAAAAACTTATACTTTTTAAGAACGTAATCTCTGTGAAGTAACTTGAATTGTTTCATTTCATAACTTGAATAGCTTACTAATAAAAACTTCAAGTTTTTGCAAGCTTGCTTAAAAAACATAACTTTTTTGCTTATTGCTTCGCTCTATGAATCAACTTGAAATTTTTCAATTTTTTTTTGCTTGAATAGCTTCCACATAGAACCCTCAAGTTGCGTCATCCAATTTGCTTCATGAAAAATTTGAAAATATCTCAAAGTTTCATACCTTGAATTGCTTGCTTAGAAAAAAAATTTTCGGGAACCGATTCGTTTTATAAAGCCTAAAGTTTTTCAAACCGATTTACGATATGGCCTAACTTGAAATTGTTCAAAGTTTTTTTTTGCTTCGACAGCTTGATCAGAACAGCAACTAATTTTTGGCGAGCCAATTGATTATTGGAGTTAGGCTTGCTAGTTTCGGTGTTGGTGTTATTTTACATCCACCTTCGGGCGATAAAATTTAAATTTTTTCAAAAACATTTTTGGCGCCAAGATCAATTAGTTTTGAGAAACATTCGGACCAAAAAAACTTCCATAAGTTTCACAAAAATGGCATTTAAAGTTTTTATTTTTTGAAACACTTGCTTGCAGCGCAGAAAAATTCTGCAAAATAAGTTTTTCATAGTGTTTTGAAAATTTGGTTAGCCGAAAAAGATGCCGACAAACTTTTTGAGCCTTTTTTTAAATCCCTCTGCAAAAAAAAAACAAGAAAGCTATGCCTTGGGTGGTCGGTCAGTTGGTCAAATATCCGAGGGAAGGAACAGTTCTCGCTCCTCTGCCCCTGCTGACCGGTCTAGCTTCAAAATTAAATGTCGTCCTGGTCTCCTGGTTTTAAACTGTAAGATGAAGGAAGTGTATGGACTTTGAAATAATAGTGAAGAATGTATTTTGACGACAATACTTTGATCCAATGGGTGTCTATTATGCCAGAATCAACCTGCGCAAGTAGTTCTAGTTCCAAGGGTTTCGTTTTTTTTTTTGAAAATCTCAATGCTGTTTTAAGTTCATCAAATCGGAGTGCAGACCAGCTAAAACTAGTCTAGTGTATGAAGAGCGGCCAAAAATTTCTCAAGCCTTTCTTCCCTATTACACAATTTTACCGAACTATACAAAACTTTACAGAAAATTACATTAATGCTATATAAAAGATAATTTCGCAACTGCTCTCATATTTGGCTGCATTATCTGCCGCTAGTTTAGACTTGGATTTATTTATGTACCATCACAATTTTCTGAGAGATTCAAGAAGTTTATAACAATTTGGACTTTAAGTAAGAAAATGTGTATTTGAATTTTGGAAATGAAAGGTGTCTTTTTTTAATTATCTTCCGTTTTCGCCATCTCAGGTGCTCTAAGTCCGCTATTCAGATTATTTTTCTCTTAATTGTTCTTCATAAACAATCGATGGTGACGTACAGACGAGAAAAGCGATGAAATTTAGGAAGTCCTTTAAATTTTAATCTCCAACCGCTCACTTTGCCCAAAAATCATTAAGAAACAGTGCTTCATTGCATTAATATTTGGGCAATGTTATTATCTCTAACGCTTTTGTTATGGTCTGTTTAGAGTTCGCATAAAGCGGAACCTTTACGTCACAAAATAAACGATCAAAACAGCAACTTCTGAAATAATTTTTCTATTCATTTGGTAACAAAAATTGGTTCGAAATTAAGACCATTCATCAATTTTTGCTTTTATGATGACTGAGGCACACGTGAAGTGATTTGGCCCGTAGCTGCACTTAGTTTGGTCTGATTTCTGACATAGTTCTGAATCAATGCGGGATCTTTCCACCCTTGGGACTATTTTGTGGCTTCCTAATTTTACCCCTAAAAATCTCAACTTAATAACACTCTCTCCGTCCTAAGTCCGGGCCATAGAAAGTGCCATCCAGTCCGATTTAAGAGGCGAAAGTCAATTAACGGTACGTGAAAATGAGAACGGCCTTAGTTAGCAATCATCATTTTTGGAATTTTTGCGAATTAAAAAAATGAGAGAGGGGGGGGGGGGGGGTGGGGGATATAGAGTTCAATCATTGCAAAAGTTTAGATGACAACCATTGAAATAAAGACAAAACACGCAACTTGAAGCACTTCTTAGAAAAGAAAAATTCAGCGAAAACAAAAGATTTAGTGTATAACTTACTTTTTGTTTTTTAACGCTGTAAAAAATGATAAGAATTTTAAATCTGCACTTTCACCGGTAGGGTAGAAGACGTAGTTAGGATAAAAAACTGGGTAACCGGGTCCGGCTGGTCCTTTGTTTGACAGGAAAAAAGAATTGCGCCGGTTGGGGAACGGAGCGCGCTATAGACTCAAGTTGAAATAAAGCTGCAATTAAATTAATTCTTCCCTTTTGACTTTTAAATTTGTCCCTTAAGATCCAAATTTGACTTGCCATTGGCGTTTTTCAGAGAGAACTCGTTCCAGATTTAAACACTTATTTCTTCCTGAAAAAAACCTGAAAAGACTCCCATTAAACCTGATTAGACCTGAAAATAACTGTCCAGTTCCAAAAAACAGCCGCTCAATTCAGGGAAAACCCGCTGCCACAATTGATAGAATTCGCGAAAGTTGGACGCTGCCATTGATAACATGCTACGGGCTGTCAGTTTTTAATTAGTCAAAACTGAGCAGCTTTTTCTGCTTTGTTTTCTAATAGATCTTCGGTCTTTACTGCAGAAAATTTCAAAAAGGTGAGAAAGTATTTTCATTTTTTAGAATTTGCTGAATTTATTTGGCATCAGCTGTGACCAGTGTAACACTGTTTGTTCGCCTCCAAGCAGTAACAAAAACTTGAAAAAAGGTAAACTTTGGCTTAAATTTTTGACGATTTAGAACGCCTGTTCAGTCGAAGTGCCCACGTTTTTAAGACATTGAAATGCAACCGATATGTTAGCTCTCGAACTAAGTCAAAAAACCAAAAAAAAAATTGCACAAGACAGTTCAAACTTCCAATTTATAATTTAGTAAAACAGTCAAACTCATTCCCAATGATAAATGTTGAAATATAAATCGAATTCAAAAACTGGTTGAGCTCACACTGGAACAAAAATCTACACAAAGGCAAAGCAGAACTTCGCACCGATTACAAAAAAAAAGAAACAGGAAAAACTTAAAAAGGAAACTCTTTGCCAAACCTAGCAAAAATTTATTTGGCAGTTCATCAGACTTGAAGTTAATTTAGAAAAGCATAGTCAAGAATTATAGCAAAACCCCCAAATAAACAAGGTTAGCCCGTTGCTGTGCAAAAAGCACAGAATTTTCCGACCTCACTCACGGGAAAAAAGTTTTTCTTCAAGTCAGTGTCTTTTCTTGTAGGTCGTATGATAATAGAATTATACAAAAGCGTAGAAAGATAGTGATTAAAGCTTAAACCATAAAATTTTCTTTAAAAAAAAAACAAAAAATATGAAAAATTTTTCCAGAAAAAACTTTTTCAAACTTTTGCACTTAAAATTTCAAATTTTTCGAAATTTCTTTTTGCCAGACATACTTCAAACAAAGCTTCCAAAGAAGTAATTTTAGACTAATTTGCTAGTTTTCATATATAAACAAGATTTCTCAAACTTTTGGCGTCTAAGTCCTTCCAAATGTTTTCAACTAGCCTCTGTTAAGACTTTGAAACCTATTTTTTTTCACTTGCGAGAGCAAGTGACTTGTAAATAGTTGCAGAGAAACGACATTAACATGATAAAAAAAGTGTTTATTCGCTACTTGACGTCAAAAAGGTTAAATTCTATGTCCCGTAACTGTAACTATTACTCTATACCTTAGCTTTTTACTGTTGTCAAAAAATCTTTTGAGGGCAAACAAAACCTGTTTAAAAAAGCATAGAAAACTTGTTCAAGCCAATTGGAAACAAATTTGAGAAGAGGGAACATTTTTGAAATTGGGAACATTTTACACTGTTACAAACTCATTCAGGCAGCAAGACAACTGCGTTGATACGGTGCAGTCTTAAATACTCTAAAAAACAATAAAACCACTAGAATGTAAAATGGTATAAAATTTTGTCTGAAACAAATTTTAAAAAATTATAATTATTTAAAAGGTCAAGGCAAAAAATTACTTTGAATTATCCAGACAAATTACTCAAATTACTCAAATCCAGACAAATTACTCAAACTATCCAGACAATATAATGCAAAATGAGGAAAAAATTCATGCGGCTCATAAATTATTCCAAGCTGATTGAGACTAATTTTTACAATTCTCTTCCTTTTTTTTTCGGAAAGTTTAAACGATAAATTATAAATCAAAATTTCGTCAAAAGTTTTCAAGCAAACAATTTGCTTTACAAAAGCAGTTAAGTTCGAGCTTTTTTATGCTCGCTTCATAATTGCTGTTTCGGTTAGCCAATTTTTTCAGTTGCGTTGTGTTTCACAAAATACATACTTTAGAGAGACCATCAAATCAAAATAAGGTTTATTTTAATTCATGCATTGCTATTCTCCGCAGTGGTCGGATGCTTTTTAAAATTAAATTTAAAATTTGATAATTATGAAAAAGCATGACAGAAAAACGGTGCACTTTCTAGCTTTACAGCAGTACAATATGAGCCCAAACTCAGTTCAGGGTCGGATGTCGGAAAAAGTTCTAAGATCTACTTACAGATATGAATCGAAAGCTCTAAGCGGTTAAATTTAATCATAATAATCATAATAATAATAATAAATTGTTTGCAATTTAGATTACATTCACTGCAAAAGTTACCACTTTTACAACAAAATGAAATCTCATTGCGAGAACGCCGTGGAACTTTGCAGCCCGTTTTCCGGCGCCTCTGATCTTGCTACGACTTCTGTTAGTTTTTAACATCGATAGTTAATCACGAAATCAATAAAAATGATTTAGTAAAAAAAACAATTTGAAGCGAAAAAGGGTGAATATTCAGCAGCATACCTACCCTTGACAGCAAATTCTTTTTTAAATCATATTTTTACTCAAAAATGAGTTTAACCAGCTGATAATTTCTTTGAGGAAATTTTTCCAAAAACTCATGATTCAAGATTTTGAATTGATATTCTGTGCAGCTCTGATACCTGAATACAAAATCTGGGTAGTGTTTAAGAACAAAAATGAAGAGTTTTCTAATTCTAACATTTATCGATGTTTTTTTATAACCCTTTGATTGCACAGGTATCTGCCTAGCTGAAACTCTCTTATTCAAAATTGTATTTACAGCTCCTGGAAATGGCCGATATGCACTCTTTTCTCAAAACGTAACATAATAACTTTAGTATTTTATAGATATGTAATTTTTTTACGAAGTATATATTTCGTTTTTGTCCTATTTCTTCGAAGCTTTCGTTTCTTCTCTTAAAACAAATAATTTTTATAAGCCGTTTCAAGTTCAATTATTTCTAATTTTGTTTTATCTGTTGACGCATAACCCAAAACCCCGTACTGCAAAATGGGTTTCACATGAGCGTCATATGCTTTCAGTAGTTGATCTTTACCTATAACTTTCCTCAACTTGAAAAACATATCACAAAACCTCGGCAAATTGTTTTCGTTTTTTATAAAAAGATCAGAAAAGGAAAGCTTAGAGTCAAATTGAATACCTAATTATCGGAACGATTGTTCTTCTTCAATAAATTTTCCATTAATTTTTACATCTGATTTTCCGCTGCTCTTCGATAGTAGCATTGTTTTTGTTTTATCTTCATTTAAGGTCAGCTTGTTTTTTTCCAGCCAACTTGCTGTTTTGTCCACTGCTTCTTAGTGTTTACCGGTTAACTCACTGTTTCTAGCTGCTGTTTTTATGACAGTGTCCTCTGCATAAAAAATCAGATTTCTTTCACTAATGTCATGTACCTCATTATCATTTATATAAATGATGAAAAGAAGCGGGCCTAGTATGGTTCCCTGTGATGCACCATAGTTCATATTTTTATTTTGAGAGTGTTTGGTTTTAGCGGCAACGTATTGTTAGATTTCAAAAGAACCAGTACAGGTCCCCGAAAACCATATGCGTCACTTTTCTCAATTAAAAGCATGTGGTCAACTGTATCGAAGGCTTTTTATGGTCAATGAATGTTAATTGTGTCTTCGTATTATTAGAGTTCCAATCTTGACGCACTTCTTCTATTAGGTTTATCAAAGCATCAATTGTACTCCTTTTTGATGTGAACCCAAACTGGTAATTTTGTAATAAGTGATAATTAGTGAGATAATGGTTCATTCTGTTATAGATGACCCGCTCAAAAATTTACCTAAAGCTGGTAAAAGAGAAATTGGTCTGTAATTTGATGGGTATATTTGCCTTCTTTGAAGAGAGGTATAACTTTGGCAATTTTGAAAGTGTCTAGAAAAACTTGTCTATCCAAACATTTTTGTAATACTTTTGTCAAAACTGGGAGCAAAACTCGACAAATTTTTTTCAAGTAGTAGAAATTAAATTTTATCAAAAAAATCTCTTTTAAAATGATTGCCAAACCTTTTTAGAAATTGGCAATTTAAGCCGCCAGATTTCATCTGATCACTTAATCAGAAATTCGCATTAAATGACAGTCTAAATAAAAGTTGAAGTGCCGTTTTGAAATTCTCATCATCTTGTGTCGAAAAATAACACGATTCCTACTGAATTTGTTCTTGTTCTTGTTTCGACTTTTTTTCGCAAAAATGAAAGAAAATGGTTTGATACTTTTCTGCTTTTGCTCAGTATTCGCTTAGTCTATTTTCAATTACAATGAACTATAACGATATCAAATGAACCATTTCTCCAATTGAGATTTAATCAAACTTAGCAGCCTAATCTTGAATTATGCAAGGCTTGGAGGGGAGAGAAAAACCAGCCGTGTTTTGCACTGATATCAAATATACAAGACCAAAAATATTTATAAAACCAATGAAGATTAGGTTATTGAATGATATGAAAACCTAGATGAAATGTGTACCCAAAGGCAAGTATTTCAATTAAATGCCATTTTGAGAGACTGAAACAATCAAATCTCCAAATTGAGTATACAGCAGATCTGAATGCTTTGAGCCCTGAATTAGTTCCAAGAAACAGATTGTGCCTGAAAATGTGATTTATTGGAAAACATTTTAATTTTCATTGCTTTCGGCAACCTTCTGTTCAGATTATTTTTAGTCGCCAAAGGTTCAAATTGGAAAAAAAAATGTTAAGATCAGAACTATTTTTATATGGTCGCTATCAAGAATATTAGATGTAATTTTTTTCGGATCAGTTTAATTTTTTTTCAAATCTCAGCTCACTTTACCTTCTGTAATGTGGCTGGAGTAAAATTTAATTTTAAATTCGTTCTCTTTTTATTTCGTTAAAACAGCCTTTTTAATCCCATATTCCTTTACAGCTAAACGAACAGAAACGCCGAAATGATAACCGACGAAGGCAAAAACGAGCAGCATTTTCTTGTCGTGTTGGATTTCGACGACACTATTGTCGAGGGAAACTCGGAGGAGAGCGTGAAATCTCTGCTGGAGAGTCGGGACATTCAGTTCCCATGTAGCATGGTAAATCACTACGAGAAACACAAGGATTGGAACTACTACATCAATTTACTCTACGAGTTCTTGCACGAGAATGACATCAAGCAAAAAGACATAGTGGATTCACTCCACAAAATTTCATTCGTCAAAGGTCAGATTCGAGTTTTTAGTAATAACTTCTCTGTATATATATATTTCATACTTTTTCTTAGAATTCAAAAAAGGCCTGTTCATCATTTCTGACTTTTTTTATAAATCGCCAATATAGATTCCATTGAGGATGTTTCTTTTACACAGAAGCGAGGAAAATGCAAAAAAGAACTCTAAAGAGGCAAAATAAAGAAAACAATTAAAAATACAGCTTGAGAAAAAAATTAGTGAAATTAGGAGTATCACGTTCTCACATCTGCTCTATGAAAGCTTCTAATTTTTCAAACAAAAGCCACCATTAAAGCAGCTACGGTTTCTATCAAATTGCCAATGATACGGCGCAACAAATCGGCAAAAAAAAACTATTTCAATGTTTCGGATTTGAATTTTCGACCTGTTGATTAGGAGTCTCACGTCCTCGCATCAGCACCACGGTCACTTGGAAGTAAATTAGTGGCCAGGCTAAATCTGGATCCACCTAATTTACTATTTTAAATCAAATATTGTAGTGATACGGAAATGCGTAATTTTCAAAAAAGGACTTAACGGAAAAATTTTGTGATCTCTGCTGAAGTAGGGAATTTGTTGCTTATTTAAAGGAGAAAACACCACTCGTTCATTCAAATGAAGTTTTTATCTCAGCTTTGGCTGGGTAGTTTTCGAAAAACGCGAAAAAGATTCCAAAAAAAACGATCAGAAATCAAAAATTTTTCCTTAGCCTATAATTTTCTCTACTTAAGCATGGGAATAGCTTCTTCTGCAGGGAAGACGTCCATGTCCACACCTTAATTTTTAGATTGAACCTTAGACCAAATTTATCGAGTAGTTTTCGAGAATCGTGATGACATTTCTTAGAAAAGACGGTTAAAATTTAAAAAATATTTCTAAGTCAATATTAGCTTTTCTACAAAAAAAATGAGGTGAAAAAGATTGCACAGAAAATCTAAGCCCCATATTAGTTTGAATCAACTATCAACCGCAGAATCAGTAGGTAACTGTTATTTAGAAAAAGAATAAATTTCCAAAAAACGGGCTAAAATTCAAAAGTTAGACTTATTCTAAGGCCACATGTTTTTTTTTCAAATCACACGACATAGCCGCTTGCGCAAGAAAGAGTAGCATAACAAACCATATTTCTTTCGAATGAGCTCATAATCTCCAACTTGACAAGGTAGTTTTTAAAAGGAGTGAAAGATTTAAAAACTTACAAAATGTCAAAAAATTGGTTTGTTTGAGGCCATAATTTTTTTTCTACCGAAATTAGATGAAAACCGCTCGAGAAGGGGAGATCCCGAAAATTTGTTCTTTTGCTTGAAACCTTCATATCAGGATTGTGCTTTTAAATTTGTGAAAATGAAAAAATTAAAAGCAATTAGGTCAAAACTCGCTACTGAAACTTTCGAAGGCCGTTGAACGTGGGGCAAAAAGAAAAGAAACGAGCGAAATATGCAGGCACATACAAGAGCAAACATTTTCATGAATTTTTCCATTGGTTTTTTTTCGGTATCTTTGGTATCATCAATTTTTCATTGGTATCATTTTTTTTTTGAAAACCGGTCTGGTACTTTTTGAGAAAAATTTAAATTTCTGCGAAAAGTGCAACTTTTCCAGAGCGTCACCATCAGAAACAAATTCGATACATTTTCAAAAAAGCTGTCTTTTTTCAAACAGGAACTAACACTAGCAAAAAAAAGCAACAACATGTGCTTTCAAATTGCCTATGCTTAAAGAGACTTAAATATCACGAATAAAAGGAAATATACCGCCAAATGAGCACTTTTATTTGCGACTTAGTGGCAAAAAACTTCGTAATAATACACTACTCTTCGCATGAGTAATGAATGGAAACTTATCGATCTCAATACACAACGCCAATTGATTGGGCAGTATAACATTTGGTTACTAGCGTGAGCTGCTGTAACGGTAAAGCTAATTTTGCTTCATTCAGTAATCAGAGTTAATCAGAAAGACACAAAACTCAATTTCAATATTTTTATTTGTAAATTATTTGAAATCACAAGAAAGATAGCCCACTTTTGTGTAAATAGCAAAAAAATCTTCAAAGCACAGCTAGCCAAGCGCGGATTTGGGATTGAGGTGGCAGGAATTCGAGCCCCTCACTAACCAAAGGGTCCCCCCTTAGATATTGTTTCGTGACATCCATTTTTGGCCGACCAACTCTATAGTTTTTCTAAGATATACCAAATTCTACGCCAAAACCTACTAAATTTAAAGGGGAGCAAGCAATTTGGTGTGATGTCTGGAATGCTGAGACAATTCTTTAAACAAGCCAGAAAATTGCTGTCACCGTCAACTGCAACACAAAAACAAGAAACGATCAAAGAGAGTCGTTTTTATGCTGAATCAGCTTAAAATTCTTAAAATACACAGCTTGGCTTCATATTATTCCACATAATGCCTAGAAATCGGTTCCTAAAAACTTGTTAGCGTTGCAGTAAATTTATCAACACGAGGTCTTGTTAGTGCTCTGAGAGCGCGCGGAAAACCAAGCCTTTTGAAAATCTGGTATCACCACCTCCGCTACTAAGAAAACCATAGATCCTTTCCAGCAGCTAAAAAAAATTTGACTTGAAAAAAAACCTTTCAAACAGAAGCTAGCTTTGAATAATTTTGAGACTAGCAAGGATTGTCATTAAAATGGTTTGCCCCAATTCAATTTGAAATGACTCTTTTGAAAGCATTGGAAATAGAATTATCTTACAGGTTCTAAATATTAAAATATAACAATTGGTATTTGATCTTACGCGGTGAGGACCAAATATCACGCAAAATCTCGCCAATTTTCAAAACTCAAACCTCTATGAAACAATAATCACAGCTCAATGTCTTTTTGTTTCGATTTTCGAAGAAATTGCGGGAGTTATGCTTAGGGTCGTTTTTTAAGTCAGTCAATTTTGAAATTCTGAACAAAGCATTTTCTTTGAAAAACATCGGAGAGATATTGTTGTACTGAGCTCAAACTTAACAAGACAACGGACATGTAATCGTTTTTCTTACAGTTCCGGGGGTTTGAAATTTGCAAATTTGGTCATCTTGTTATAATTGACGCGCGATATTTTGCGTTCTTTTAACACGCGTAAGACGTTGCTGTTGTTGTTTTTAGACTCAAGGTGCGTGCCCGGTACGCTCAAACAAGTCTCAGAAACTTCGAATTTCCGAAACCAAAAACCCACAAAGAGTATGCGCACCCCTGTATGGGGAGGGTATGGTAGAGTAATTTCCGGCTGAATAAGCAGTGTGTCGGGTCCACCGCTTGAAGGCGGCACTTCCGGACTCTCGCGTAAACGGCGAATTATTGTGTTACAAATTGACTTGAGGCTAGCAGTTTAGTCTTTTTAAAATAATAAGAGACGTTTAACACATCCTTTATAACAGGTGGGATAATAAAACTAAAAAGGAAGAAAAAATCCTTTTTTTGGATTATTTCGTCAATTATTCAATCAAAAAAATTTTTTTTAATTGTCTTTGACGGGCAGTCGGAGCATTTAGGACCTCGCACTAATTCACAAGCAGTCTTGCTGTTTTGTGAATTTGAATTGCGAATGAGTGTAGAATATGTCCGTCGAAAGCTATTATTTCAATAAAAATTTGTTTAGAAAGTCTATTGTAGTTTATGTCCGTCAAAGAAGTCCAGTATAGAATATGTACGTCAAACATTAATATTTTGTTAAAAATAAGTTTATAAAAGTTGATTGTTACCGTACAAAAAACTATGCTCTTAAGATCGCTTGAACAAATCATGACCATTAAGTTTTTGAGAACTACTCATTGACCAAAGTGGTAGCTCGTGAAAAAAACATCGCGAATCATTGAAAGCATGATGTCAAGCATAGAGAAATGTTCACACGCATTCACTTCCAAAAAACGCATCCAGTTGTTCGGTCACAGATCAAAAACCGATATTCCATAACTGAGCTGACGTTGAACTCGATATGAAACTAAAATGAAGAAACTCAATGACTACTAGATTTTATAAATGAAAAAAAAAGATTTTTTTTTCATCTATTTTACCGAGAAAAAATCATTCTATCGCCCGATCAAGTTTGCTCTTTGCTTTTATCAGATGAACCTAATTTCAGAAACAGGTGGTGCGAAGTTACAAACACAGCAAAGAAGAAAAGACACTATAAAACAAAATTGCTCGTATCAAGACAAAACCCTGTATGTTCTGACTGCCATTTAAATGGTCTCAAATAGCTTTTAGTAAAACAAAACCTGGCAAAACTAAAAATTTTAGGCTGATCATATTAATATTTTAGAGTTAAAATTTGAGTCGTGTTTGGAGTTAATAAAACTAATTAGCTGCCTCAATTCAATTTGGAACGATTTTGTAGTGCGGGATAATTCACCACGCGTCTAAATTATAAAACGAGCAGTTTGGACAGATTCGTGGCAGGTTACTATAGTAGTGTGCAACCGTGGCCGAGCCCATGCAGACCAAGAGATCGATCCCTTAGAGACCAAAGTTTAATTGAAATTGGTTGGAAAAAAGCAATTAACCCGAGCATATATATCCCTCACTTTTTTCGAAAGTCTAACAAAAAAATGCACCGTAAAAGCTGTTCACACCACGAAAAAAAAACAATGAATAATTGGACTGCAATTTTAATGATGAGAGCGCATTTTATCGCGCAATAATCATCCCAAATTCACCAAAATAGCAATTTTCAAACACTGTAACTTTACAAAAGTAATCAAAAAAATATATATTTTTTGAGTTTAAGGCAACAAGATCTCTCAGATGGAATAAAAAATTCTGTCAAAAATGCTTAGTTAAATCAAAAAAATTAACTGAATAAAAAAACAACTCCAAGCATAAATATTCCGTACTTTTTTCGAAAGTCGGAACAATAGTTTGCCAGTTCCTTAAATAGAAAAATTGCAGCAATGATTGTCAGTTTGCCCAAAAAACAGTTTTTAAACCACCCGAAATTTATGAAAAAAATCAGTTGAATACCTCAAAATTTTGAGCTTATGGTTTTGATTTATATCAGATGTTAATATGCGTTCAAAAACAAAAATTTGATTCTGTCCGAAAAAAAATACCCATAAAGCTATTTTTCGGTCGTTTTTGTTATTAATTTCATAACTACGAGTTTGGATAAAAAACAAGGTTTCGTTTTGGGGTTTCAATCAAAGAGGCTGCAAAACCTGCACCCAAATACTTCGTATTCAAAAATGAGTGATTGGAACTGAATTCTCAAATATTCATATAATTTCAGGCAGCTTCGAAATGCTGCAGAAGGTCGCGGAGATGAAAAAGACACGCAACATCGATGTCATTATAATCTCGGGCGGAAATGTGCTCGTGATTGAGAAGATTCTGGAAAATGCTGGACTACGTCATGTGATCGATGAAATCCTGTCCAATCCAGTTTCCGTGGAGCCAAACGGACTGCTAAAAATCGGGTTGCTAAACACGCATAGCTGCAATTACTGCTTCAGCGGTGAAATGTGCAAAGGGGTGGTTGTTCGGAACTATCTCAACCGAAAAAAAGCAGAACGAAACATCGACTTCGACAAAGTTTTCTTCGCGGGTGATTATCTGAATGACATTTGCCTCTGTCTCGAAATGCGAGAGCAAGATTTCGTAATGGCCCGTCACCAGTTTCCTTTGGAAAAAGATCTGGAAAACCGAAAGGTCAAAGGTCAGCTCAAAGCCAACTTAATCAGCTGGAAAACGGGTTACGACGTGATGAAAGTTCTGGAAAAACAAACCGAACTAATTTGAAATCTGAAAACTGGCGCTCCGCTTAAAAATGCCACAAAAATGAGTTCCGGTTAAGCGCTTCAATAAGTAATTACTCAAATTTGAATTCAAATATTTCTGTATCATACGACAAACAATTTACATCTTTTTGTTGAAAATAAACGAAATAAATAGATCAAGGTTTCCAAAAGTTTTATACTTCGTAATTAGATTATTCGTGAAATTTTATTGCAGATTTTATTTCGAGAAAACACAATATACAAACATAGAAATTGAGAATCAGACAATAATTCAGATAAGATTAATTTTGAAAATAGACAAAAATAACTTTAATCAGATGCAAAAGAGGCTCTTTTCGCTAATTTTGAAAACTTACTTTAAAACTTTTCAGTTAAAGCCCTTGATTGAACTAAAAATCACAGGAGCAAAAAGAGCCGATTGTTACTATGATATACAATAACAAATGTAATTCACTTCGAACAAAATTTGTTTCCAGAACAATTTAACTTAACCTATAAAAAATTTAATTTTCGATATCACCAGTTTGGTGAACTTTGAATTAAACGTTAAACGTATGTCTAAAACTTGCTTAGATTAGTCAACATCTGCGAGATTCGAAAAACCAAATTGCCAAAAATACCACGATATTTTTCTTGAGTGTGAAACTGTTCAATTAATGAGGCGCATGAATCAAATGAAGCTCAAACTCATAACTATCGCTGCAAACTTCTCCACAAGATTTGCACGTGAACGGATTAACTTCGCTGTGAAACGACATGTGAACATTAAACATTCTCTCACTTTTGAAAATCGTCTCGCAAAATGGACACGCGTTGTCAGATTGTCGCATTGCGACGTCGGATCTTCGCGTGACGTCGGGTGTTGAAGTCACGACCTGGCGGTGTTCGTCAACGTCCATGTATTCGTTCGACGATCGCATATTTTGTCGTTTAGAACTCGGAGCGTCGTCGTCCTCGTCACATTCCTGGGGAATTTCGAACTCAGGAAGCTCCCCTTCTTCGTCAATCGTCAAGTCTCGGTTCGTCGCCTCGAGTAGCGAACTACACTGATCGTCGTCTGAGTAGTTCACACTGCTGTTTCCGCTCGTCGGCCGCCGGTAAGAATCGGGAGCGCCGCCATTTGCTGAACCACTTCGGCTATTTGATGACTTGTTAGACAAACTTCTCGGACGAGTGATTTTCTGAATTGGGCCTACTAGACCTGAAGATCCCTTTTTATGTTTAAGCAAATGACTTGCAAGACACTTTTTGTAGGATGTGTTATAATTGTTGCAGATCGTACACTTATATCCGCCGCCAAATTTCATTTCAGTCAAGAGTGTGGACTGAAGAATTTCTTCAAACTCAGTCGAGTGCCGCGCTTGGTGCGATTTGAGACAGTTTTCATAAATTGTACTGTAACTACAGTTAGTACATTTAAAAGGTTTTTGACTTACTCCGCTCTGATTGGACAGCGAGTTCAACGACGAACTGCCCGAATCGTTGTTCGGATTCGATTCTGAAGTCGTGTTGTGTTCGTCGAAGTGAGTATTCGAGCCGTCCGCGGATTGGTTGAAACTTCTCTCCTGGCTCTCGCTAGTGATTGGCTTCTCTATTTGTCGTCTGATTTGATTGTGGATGGTCATTATGTGAATATCCAGTTTGCTTTGCTGATTTGTCGTGAAAAAGCACTCTTTGCATGAAAATGAGCTCTTCGATATGGGCGGCAGTTGTACCGAAGGAGTTGGCTTCCGTATTTGATCAAACTCAAATTTTCTAGGGCTCAAATCTAAAAAAAGTACAAATTTGTCCCACAAAATTTTTTCAAGCCCATTTGTTCCGACGCTTTACCGAAGCTTTACCTCGCCTATGTTTCATTATAGAAAATAGACAAAAAAACTAAAAAAATTTTTTGAAAAAATTAAGTTGAAAAAATTACTTTGAAGTTTAAAAAATCTACACAACTTTCATACCTGTCTCGAATGATACTAAGATACAGCTTCAAAAAGCATTCAGAATCATTTATCGAGAGGCAACTGGGTCAAACAAAGTCAAGCCAAAATTGAAAATTTTGTCATGAAAAAGTTTCAAACTACAAAATTTTCGCGACCCGTTCCTCTTGAAACAGAAAAGCAAGGCATAAGACAATATTTTTCCATCAAAACTACGCAATATAAATTGACTGAGTTGATATAACACAAGCCAAAACCGTTTATTACAAAAAACTTGAAAAAAAATTATTATTATTCAATGCATTTCAAAAATGGAAATTGAGCCAACGGAAACTTGAATGAAAACATAAGACTTTTTAAAATTTTGCAATAAATTTATTCAAAAAATTAATTAATTTCTACAATGAACTAGACGGTAGTTTTATTTGAATATTCAACAAATGATCATTTTGATTTAACCGGTTCCTGACTTTCAGCCCTTTTTAAGCTTTATGTTGAAATTTGAGCATGGTTTTTTGAAAATTTGGACGACTAAACAGCATCAAATACTTGATAAATTTTTATTAATTACTTTAAACCACATTTTTTTCATTCTAAATTTACCTATACATATACCCCATGACAAAAAATACCGTGTCAGAAGATCCCATATACTAAAATTCTTGATGTCATAAGATCCTATGAAGTCTAACCTGAGAGCATGAAGTTCTGAGCCGCGCTCAAAGGCGCCGCCGCCGGCACAGTGCTGACTCCAAACTGATGATGATGGTGATGTGCTCCTCCTCCGGGTGCGAAAAGTCCGGACACTGCAGCTGCAGTAGTTGGTGCAGGTGTCTTCAGGGGGTAGGGTGAATTGGGAAAAGCGGTTGCCACACTATTGCGTCTCAATTCATCCAGTTTGGCAACTGTCAGCAGGTTGTTAAGGTACAGGAGTGGTTGAATACTAAACAAAAAAAACTTCATTCAGCAAAAAGCTTAATTAAATCGAGATGCCACGTGACAGGCCAATGTCTTTTTGGTCTTCTCCCAATCGAAGCTAAATTTTAAGTGTACATTTACATACGTTTGCTTATGAGTTTATGGGTTGAAAAAACAATCATTAGAACCTAATTCAATACAAATGAAACTACAACCGCTCATTCAGATAGAAAACATACTTAAAAGGAAACCAAGAATCCATAGAAACAATTTATTTAGCAAAAATTTTTAAAGCCGAAGTAGTGGTCTTCAGAAAAAAGAGTACAAAGATCCCAACATATTTACTATTTTGAAAAAAAAACTAGAGCAAAAACTAATAATTCCAAAAAAAATTAATTAAAAAAAAACTATTCTAGCAATTTTTGTAGAGGGGGAGAAGAGACAGGTTTTAGATTTTTTCATTAAATTCAGGCACCAAAATCAAACCTCATATAAGGTAAATGAAACCTCATATAAGGTAAATGAAATTTCACATTGGAGCCCTTTCATTCGTCATATCGAACTTCATTCAGTCACAAAAAGTTCAAAAATATATCCCAATGTCGGGAAAAACCTTTCATCGCCAATAACAAACAACAATTACCGATACCAAAATTTTGATGTTGTAGGTCATAAGAACTTTAAGTCCAATTTTAAACCATTAATTTCAATTACATCCCTAACTAAAAACTTAGCAAAAATATTTACTAATCAAATTTTTTTCTGACTTATTGTGGTTTTCAATTTTGTGAAACGATATATGGTTAGAATATTCTCTCAAAGCCTAATAATTGGTTCGATTTTAACTAACCTGTAATCCATCGTTTTGTGAAAAAAATTCGGTCGAATTAACAAAGGTTTTTTGTTGTTATTTTTGTTTGAATTGTTCTAAGGAATTTCAGAAAAATGAATTTGAGAGGATGCATTTCTTTTGTTAGCAGGAGTGCTCTTTCATCTTGATCATAGAGTAACACGTGCCTACATAAGTGAAAACTTTTTGTTTTCAAGTGTTACTTGTTAAAAAATTCACTCCAACTACAGGCCTAAACTTCACTTTTATATTGAAAAAGTGGGCGATTTTAGTGCTAAACAGAGAAAATCGACCAGTGGATTTGGATGTTAAAAATATTTCAGAATTTAAATGGTCGTGTTTGCAGAGTTAAGTTGTCAGTTTTGAGACAAAAATTCTCAAAAGCAGACTATCTGGCGCTGAAAGACGAGGAAATTTCTCTAGTTGAAATATGAAATCTGTTTGAACTTGATATCCATTTGATTAAACAAACTTAAGTGACACAAAATACTTTCAAAACTGTTCACCACTTTGTGTAGCACTTAAACCAAAGTATTTAGAGTTTTGTTCAAATCCAGGGACTATAGTCACTACCTCATTGGTTTTCACATTTAAATAAAAGAGGCGTTTTCGTGAAACCAAAAGTTTCAACCTAAAAAATGTTGATATAATAACAGTTTTTCTTCTGAATGATATTCACCCATATGACAACCAAAAAGGTGCATTTTTCAAACATTCCGTCAATTTTACCTGATTTCATTATATAATCACTGTATTTTGCCAGTATTTTAAGAAAATTGTTCCCATATTAAAAACAATTATTTGGCTTAAATTTCGTTGCAATTAATTTACGATCTTTCTCTCTTTCAAGGGAGCTGATGACTATCATAGAACATTTGTTTTCAAAATGGTCGTACAAACTAAATATATGTCGAACCTAAATTTGATCATTTAGAGACAGCTGAAGTAGTCTAACAGAAGTACGACGTGCGCAGAAATTTCACTAGTTTTTGTTTTTTTTTTTTTTTGGGGGGGGGGGGGGGGGCTTATTGAGAATTTTTGTCGAGCTTTTTGTAATTCGATCAAATTGATTTTTCGAGCTCCCCAAAAACCCTAAAAAGACCGTTCAGCATGTTATTTTATTCAAAAGGAGGATAATGTGCGTTATCCCTAAATATAGCATAGATGAGATTGTATAGTAGGAAGCAGAGAGAGAAGGGGGATTGATGAGTTTGTCAAATTTACCTATACTGTGGAAGCAGTAAGGTTGTTGTAGCGGAGTAGTTCTTTGGCACAGAGTTTCCAGGGGTGTTTCCCGGCGACACCCCTCCCGCCCCGCTGCTCACGCCTACTGCGTTACTCGCATTCGCCGAGCTTGTTCCATTTCCGACTGAAATTCCAACTGAAGACATTGATGGCGCAATCATTCCTGTAGCTCCATTAGAAGCGTTTTGATTGGCTGACGTTTGCCCAAAAATCGAGCCATTCTGATTGGTCATTTGGTAGTTAGAGGCTCCGTTTCGGTTATTTTCGATAGCAGGCAGAAGCGAAGGCGATTCAGCACTTTTGGGTCGGGTTAAAGTTTCCAATGATCGACCTAAGAAAATTGATTTTACCAGAAATTTCTAAACACATTGTGGTAACTTAATTAATTGAACCGAACACAAAAACTGACCATAAATACATATATAAAGATTGATAGATACATAAGATTCACCAAAGTTAACCTATCGGACAAAAATGGGAAGTTAAATCTATTTTTTTTCAAAATTGCAGAAAATGGTTTCGGCATAAATATGAAACTCTTACTAGTGAAGCTTCCAGCCTTCTGGACGCTGCTCAATCCAGCGAACACAGGCGATCCGGACTTGTGCTGTGCTTTCATTCGCTCCGGAGAAAAGCCCGGTTTCGGACGAGTCAGATCTTTCATACTCTGGCTGAAACCGATACCACCGGGCGAAGCTGGTGATGGCGCCGTCCCTGGTCCAGTCTGCGTTTTGGTTCTCATCTGGCTTTCACGGTTCGTTCTGCCAAAAAATTGCAACAATGTAAAACAATGCGCCCTAAAGGGGATCGAATTTAATGCCGTCAAAAAATTAATGGCATTGAATTCCTTATTTTGGGTCAAATTTGCGAAATTTGAATATGTAATGCATGTTTGAAATGCTACACCAGAAATTTCCGGGTTAAAAGGAGTTTGGAAAAATTTGCAAAACAAATTAGGAAACATTTCAACACAAGTCAACCTGAATTTACATGATATTAAATTCGAATATAATTGCGGTTGAAAAGAGAGTTCCTCCTTACCTTTGTTTGAAAAAACTCACTGCCATTTTTTTTTTAAATGAATTCGAATTTTGGAGAACTTAAGAAGGCTATTCCGTTAGATTGATTTTTTAAGTTATGACTACAGTGATAAATTTGATATATCTAAGCTGTTTGCGTAAATGAATCGTCAGTCTAGTCCAAAATTGGAATTTTTCAATCTTAAGAACGCCTCAAACGACTAAGAATACAAAACATCACTGACGATATATCATGAAGTTTTACCAACTACGACTCGTTTTTACTATTCGCTTATACAATATTTTGCATATGAAAAATAGATAGATTTTTAAACAGCGAGTTAATTTTTCAGCCCTGTGGTCAAAATACAATTTAATTACTCACAACAAAGAACAAAACAAACTTACCAAAATTTACGCAACAGAATTAAAGAATTTACACAATACTATTTTAATATGGTAAAAGATTTCCAGATACCGTACCAATAAATTACGCTCCAGTCAATTTTTTTTAATTTTCTCATTGTGATCATAGCTCAAGCATCATCATTATGAACAAATTTGAATCAGATTGATTGCTCATTTTTTGCATCACAGTAATTCTTGCAGCCATCGTGAGTCACGGCGAAAAGTTGGCTAGAATTGTAAAATTTGGTAGTACTTTTTAAAAAGTGTAAAAAGAGTTAATTTTACTATGAACGTCAGAAGCATAACGTATGGTGATTTTACCATCAGTGAACGTTCAGAGAAACAAAAATATTTAAAGAAAAATTATTACCATGTTTGCCAGTTCTACACGAAGTCTGTTCTAAGTATCTAAGCACATGAAATGTTTGCCAAACACCTGAAAACGAATTTTCGAGTAGATTCATGTACGTCCCCGTCCAAATCCCCTCTCATGGATTCGATTTCCATCACCATTTAAATGGTCAACCCTTAGGCACTGTTTTACGACATCCTTTTTTTGGCCCGACGGCTCTACATTTTCTGAAGATCGACCTTACAATTTATACAAGTTTTGAGGGGAGCACACGCCTGTTTGGCATGTTTTTTTTAAATATGCTAGCGGGCAGCATATTTAAACTCAAAAGAGTCCTAATATAGTGTTGAGAGAGCTCGGAAAATTAGCTCGAACTAAAAACATTGTCGACAACATTGTCGAAAAACTTTCACAGAACAGCCTCATCCTAAAAATATTTCTGCGCACGCAACTTTCAAAAAGCTGGCTGCCATAAATTCAAATTTATAGGCCTAAAAAACAAAACTGAAATTTAAAACATTTGCAAAGAGTAAACAAGACTGCTCGTATCAGGGCAAAGCCCTGAATGTTCCGACTGCCTTTTAAGGTTTATGGAGCAGTAATAACATTAAAAAATTCAATGAAATAAAACGAAAGAAATTTTTTTCTTTTCTAAAATGTGAAATTTTTCTAAAGAAAACCATCCCCCACACGCCATATAAGGTACAAAAGGATAGATTTCGCTCCTTGTACCAAACCAATTATGGCGAATAAGCTTCTTTTAACCAATTTGGAACAATTTCTAAGACGGATTAACTCTCCGCTTACGCGTTAATAGCGCGAAATATATCGCGCGTTAATTGTCCCAAATTGGCCAAAATGGCAATCTTTAAACCCTCGTAACTTTACGAAAAATGATCACAGGTGAAATATCATTTCAAATTTGAGCTCAGGACAACAATACCTTTCGAGTGATATAAAAAAAATTCCGTCAAAAATGGCTAGTTAAAAAGTCAAAATTTGTCTGAAGAAAAAAAAACCCACCCCGAGCACAAATATTCCGTTACTTTCGTATCGAAAGTCGGAACAACAAGGATAGCCAGTTACTGTGCAAATAGCACAGAATGTTTCGACCATAATCTTAAAAGATCAAAAATTACAAAAAAAAACACTGAGAAATTGATTTAAAAAAAACATTCTTAGAATTCGTTCGAATCACGACTGCAAGGGCTTTGAAATGATATATAACTCGACTCATTCCTATGATTATTTGTGGTATTGATTTTGCGTGGAAAAACAAAAAGAAAAGAACTAAAACACACCCGCATAAAAATTCCTCCATATTATTCAAATGGTCGGGAAAAATAAGAGCTAAAGAATGTTTTTGTTACTCTTTTGGATTCTGGTCTTTATTTATAAAAAGTAGGCACCAAAAATAAACGCGATACTATTTTTTCAGCCTTTAGAGGGATGAATCAAAGGAAGAGAAGATGAAAAATGTTGCTTTGTTCAAGAAATTTTCAGCTACGAATGGACCAAAACACAACGAATTTCATCAGTTTTCAAATTTCATAGCTGAATTCGCCTGTTACTCTAATTTAATTTTAGAAATGTTTAATGAACAGTTTTTTGCATTGCTGGCGTAGGGTTCTTTTCCAGCCAATTTTGATAACCAAAAAAAAGCTCGTAGGGAGTCAACTGTGGTATCACATTAAACCCCTATTACGCGCGATTTGCATTCCGAAAAATATCCAAGAAACTGTCTGTTAAAAAAACTGTTTTCAGACCAAGCTGTTTTTCAAGTCGTATTTTTAAAATTGTTAATTGAACTCAACAAGCATGAAAAATTAGTTAACTTGAAATTCTAAGTTGGGCCTCATCCCTATAACAAATTTGTATATTTTCGTTTTTTAAACGTGGTCGGAATAATCTTTGCTACTTGCAGAGCAGCCAGCTACCCTTGTTTTCTCAAGTAACGTTCTTAAGCAATGTGTTTAATAAAATTTCTTATTTTATTCATACCCAATATTTGGCTTTCAAATATATGTTACTCCACATTATTCAAAGTTGGGCCTCATCCCTATAAAAAATTTGTATATTTTCGTTTTTTAAACGTGATCGGAATTATCTTTGCTACTTGCACAGCAGCCAGCTACCGTTGTTTTCTCAAGTAACGTTTTAAGCAATGTGTTCAACAAAATTCAACGTTTTTAAGCAATGTGTTCAACCAAGTGAGGCTGACGAGCTAGCAGTCAAAAAATAACCGGAAGATCAAAGTCAAAAACAAGGATATATATATTTCATATCCAGGTTTGTTTGTATCATATTTTTATGTCGTTGTTTTTAGGGTAAGCGGCAATTATTAGCCCATCTGTACAGTTTAAACCTTCGTCATTAGATTAAGATGTCAAATAATTTTTCGACGTAGCAGAAGATAATAATGAAAAAGCAGCAAAAATTCCACAATTTGGTGCTCCCGTTTTGAGTATGAGCAACGACGTAAGTCATTGTCAATTTGGTCTGGACACTACTTATAAAAAAAACTGCATAAGGATATACACAGAAGCGAGTCGGAGATTCGCACTACATGCGATACATTACAAATGTTGCACGACGAGCTAGCAGACAAAAAACAACCGGAAGTCGCAAAGTCAAAAACAAAACTGGCAAAACTATATCCACCAAAATTTTTATACTTTAATTTGTCTCGATGGAAATTCATTTTAGAAACAAAAATCACAAAGGACTATTTCCAGCCTTAACCAAGCGTTACAAAAACATTTCTTAAGCGGTCAAATAGCGAATAAAACTTGAGCAGGTGAACAATGCGCCAAAAAATGAAGTCCTAAAAATCTGAGCACAAAACAATTTTGAAACGTAAACTTTAACCGAGTGTTAAAAATCAGCGGAAAATTTTGCCCGCAACGAATGCACAGCAAGAAGAATTTAATTAACCAAAATCATGTTTTAACAAGTATAATTTGAAACAAAGCAATTAGCTCAGAATTTTGTGAATCAGCCATAAACAACTATTGTCTTCAAGAAATACATAAACAAAACAGATTTTTAATTTTTTTTTTCATTTTTTGCACTAACAATTTCAAATAATTTCTAAAGATTTTTTTTTGCCAAAGAAGCGCTATATAAAGCATCCAAAACCATATTTTCTTTTGGTAAAATTATAAACTTTTAGCCTAAATTGTTAATTTTTGGACCGTTACTCGATTGATTTATTCGCTCGAAAATAGACGAAATTCAAAAAATTCAAACCGGTTTTCTCGACCGGGAATTTTTTTGAAAATTTTTGAATCTCCTTCGAATCACGACTGAAAGGGCTTTAAAATGATATATAACTCAACTTAGTCCGATGATTATTTGTGGTACCTGATTTTGCGTGGAAAACAAAAAAAAAGAAAAAATAAAACATCTGTATACAAAGTTCTTCCACATTTTCAATGGTCGAAACAACAAAGAACTAACTGAGCTTTTTAATTGCAAAAATGGCGGTAGTCTGCCAATAAATACATCACATCTTATAGCAAACATTCTAAGCTTTGCCAGAAAGAAAATCAATCAAATTAAGTCTGAACAAATTTTAGTTTTTTAAATTTGCAGGAACTTTCATTAAGAAATTCTCAGATTTAAGGTTTAACCATATCATGGGATTGAAAAAAAAATGGGTAGAATTAACCAACTAAATTTGATTTTTGTTAACGCCAAGCTTTTCATCTCTCCTTTGCGGATGTAACTCATTGTGAAAAAAAATTGTGAAAACGAAGAATTCTTACCAACAACTAGAATTTGTTGTTGAAACATTGTCAATCTAGTGTAATGCAGCTTCACTCCCCTAGTACCCACATATGAAAAAAGCTAAGAAGTACAAATTACTAGCTGACAATATATACAACATTTTGAGACTGAATCAATGCTGTATGAAAAAAGATATCTGAATCTGTGTGATCCATGAAATCGTTTAATGTGATGGACGTAAAATGTGGAATCAAAATCGTATCAACTAATTGCACAATGCTACATTAAAACATGATCATTATTGTGTGCGAAATCGAAAATAAATAACAAGATGAATGATAGAAGTGTAGCATACTTCGCCTATAGTAGCGCTGCAAAAAAGCCTAAAAAGGAAAACGGAAAGAAAATAGTTTTTTTTTCAATTTTTGCACATATTTAGAGAAAACTTTTGGACAAATTGTCACGTGCAGTTCAGTTGGATATGATCGATGTGTGAAATGGACTGACATGTGTCCACTTCGAACTAGGAGCGAATAACATAATACTGTATAAAAGCAATCAAAAGATTTCTAGTCAAAAATAACCATTTTAGCGTCATATTGTATTTTTAAATGGATTACACACTTAAACTGTGATTAAAAATCAACATTCTGATGGTTAACGGTACAAAAAGTCCTGGAACTGAATTTAATTAAATGGAGCTGAGTCTTAATTATAGCCCTAGTCGATCCATGATGGTTCATTCGCAAGATATATATTTTTAAAGATAGTCATTTCCGGTGTCTGACTTAATTTTTAGAAAAGCTTTAAATTGATTGCTGGAAGATATTCATCTTTTTAACGAATCTTTCAAGATGAACACAATCAAAATTTTTTAAAAAAATCATGCAAGGTAACCATATTTTTTAACGAATCTTTGAAGATGAACAGTATCTTACAAGAAAATCATTCTCTTTCGACTAGGGAAGCTTTTTCCGGCTGTTATATCAGTTTCTCAACAGCAAGTGCGACTGAAAGCAATTGTTCATCTTTGTTCCTCTTCCCGTCAATTTCAATCCCAATCGGAAGACCCTGGACAGTGGCGGGTAGAGATATTCCAGGCACTCCTATGTTGGAAGCCATGTTGACATTGCGGATAATGGTCCACAGAGTTGAGACTTCTTTTCCGTTGTGACTGATTACGTCATCTTGTCCTATTTTGGGAGCTCTGGTCGGACAGGTGGGGAAAATGACGCCGTCTAAGTTTTCAGTGACCTAATACAAAAAACAGTGGAGACCATCTCGTGAACGAAAACTTTGCGAGACAACCAGAATTGAAACAATCGAAAGAAATATTAAATGCAGGAAAAACAATCAATTTGAAAGTTTTTAAGGACTATGATTGGTTAAAGAATTTCGGCCATTTGCTCGTCTCGTCACCTTATATTAACATCGGATTAAAGTTCGGCTTTAGCGCTGACTAGAATATATTGTATACCAGCCTGTTGACATTTCCTCGATCAAACGATCTGTTCTGAAAGCTTAACTTCACTGAAAAAAAACACTAATTCATTACGCGTTATTATTAAAATCCGATGATTTTTCAAACTTGAGCCCTAAAATATTGGCACACAGGCAAACTTCCATTTTTCATGCACCATGTTTAGTATAAAGGTGAAATTCTAAGGCGTTACCTTAGCGTATATTTCCTGCATTTTGGGCAAATCTTCATAAAGAGCCTTTCTATACTCAGCTTCTGTAGTTCTCTTTTCGCTCATCTGCGCGTCAAAAACTGCCTTCACGTCTGGCGATTTGATCTGTTTGACAAGCTTCTCAAAATCAACACTAGGCGCGTACTTTTGCAGATAAGCAGGTAGATTTCTCATGATTTCGTAGTTTAAAACCGGAAACGCGAAGGCCAGTTCGAATGCCCAATACTCATCCAAATTGATTTCCACAATTTCAACCCCTGCTGCTTTCAAACTTCCCATCACTTTATTCATGCAAACTTCGACTTCCGGTTCCAAATCACTCAACAAAACAGACCTCTCGATTCCAAATTTGATGCTTTTCAGATCTTTTGGCTCTACTTTTGATGTCGGTTTTTGCGACAAGATACTATCGAGCAATGCGACATCTTCCACCGATCGGGCCAGGGGTCCCACTATATCTCGCGATAGTGAAATGGGTATTACACCATCGGAAGAGTACCGACCAGTTGACGGCCGAAACCCGACAACGCCGCAGAGCGCAGCTGGAACCCTGACTGAACCTCCGGTATCTGAACCAAGACCAAATGGGACGATTCCTGCGGCAACAGCAGCTCCCGTACCTCCCGATGATCCTCCAGGAATCCGAGTCAAGTCGTGCGGGTTCCTAACTGCTCCTGTAGCGTAGTTGTTCGAAGTAATTCCGAACGCTAGTTCGTGCATGCCAACTTTGCCAACCAGGACCGCACCTTCCGCGAGAAGTTTATCCATTACCGGCGCGTTTACTTTCGGAACATTTCCAAAAAGCGCAGGCGTTCCACCGGTCGTCGGAAATTGTGTTGTATTTATATTGTCTTTCGCTAGAAACGGAATACCATGCAATTTACCTTTTGAAAAATCATCCAGAGATTTAGAGGCGTATTGATTGATGTCAAAAAAAGTAACAGCGTTCAGGTCTCTCTTAAGGTCAACAGATTTGCTTACAGTATCGAGCACAGCAGAAAGTGCGGTACCCCCCGCGATTAAGTTTCGGTAGTCTGGAATAGTTTTTAGAGGCATCTTCTAGCTAATCAATGAATCAAGTACGAAACTAATTAGATCTATCTGCCAAGTGTTGACTAAATAACAAGTCGAGGAACTCTGCTGACTATTTAACGTTTAAACACCAAGTTGACCTATTCTTAGCAATTTAAGATAAAGAATAAACATTACACATTTACGATAGAATTTCACATTAACATAACTTTCATATCATTTAACCTGCCTTCCAATCAACCTGATATTTTTGCAGGAAAATGGTATGCTATTAAATTTTTCAAAATTCATCTCAACAACAAAATTGGGGTTTTCAAAGTAATTCTAAGCAACAATAAATAAACATTATTCTCAAAAAAAAAACAATTATTTTTGCGAACACACGAAAGCATAAAAACTAATTAGTCCAACTATTTTAATTGAGAAAATGCGTCTTCATCGGCAGTAATTTTCCTTCAACTTCCGTGTTGGTAGTCATTTGATATAAAAATCTAAATCAATCCGAAAACAATTTCCTATTAAACGGGCCGGTTATATGTAATTTTTTTTCTTTGTTCTGAACGCAGGAACAAATATTTTCTTTTGCCAAGGCCACATAATTTTTCATTTTTTTTTCTGTCTCCGGAAAACTAGTGAAAGCGCCAACTTGAATCTTTACAGGGATTATCAGTTTTCGAAATGTATGAAACAATCCACAAACACAAATTCACGCTCAACAAATCATTCGAGTACTTCTTAGTAACTCCTTGGTGTCTGCTTTCCCCACTTGCCACTTATTTGCTGCCAGTTTAGCGGCGCCTTTTTCGAACAAATGTTGATGACCAGGGAACCAGAAGTAAGAAATGAAAACGATATAATTTCAAATGTCATACAAAACGATGCACAAATTTTATAACCATACAACCCTTATGAACATTTTGGATCTACTTAACAATCTACTATGGGGATTGGATCTACTATGGTATCGACTTGGATCTACTATGGTATCGACTAAATAATTGCCACCCCTATAAATAAAAGCAGTAAGTTAGCACTAGAACCTTCTATTTGTCATTCGAATTTTGCTGCATTCTGATAGGTCGATAATCTAGAGGGGTTTACCTCAAAATTTTCTGATCTGGTTTACTTATTAAATTTTCTAATAATTTGTGACCTTTGGAACTGAGTTCTCAAAAAATAAACCAAGACGGTGAGAGGAGCTGATTTCTTGAGACTCCCTTGCAAAAAGAACAATATGGGAAGCATAAATATCAGACCAATATTTCCACACAATCAAAACTTTTCAAACATTTGCTTTGTTTAGGATCAAAATGAAGTCTGTCATATCAACATTTCGATACCTTAATTGACCTAATGGACGTTTGCGCGGAGTAAAATAAGCGCTGATTTAAACTATTCGGACAAAACTCGGAAAAAACGCGTTATTCTCAAATTGTGTTGATTTTAGACAAAAACTGATGACGACAAAACTTGCTTAGAATTTTAACAGAATTAATGAGGTGCAAATTTGTAAACGAATGTCAGGCCCAAAATTTTACCTCAAAAGGATCGTTTTTTTTCTTCATCAAATCAAAAGTTACGCCAAAACTAATTGTTCAATTGCTGACAAAACTATATCACTGCAAGCATCTTAAATAGCCCAACAAAGGGGTATAATCTTCTCAACTTAGCATTAGTTAGCTTATTTTTGTTTGATAGCCAATAAGGTGATTTTTGTGCATAAGATAATCAAATTTTAATAGTTTGCGCACATTTTCGGAAATTATACCTTTGTAAAACATTGTTGGGCTACATAAAAGGCTCACTTTGACATAGTTTTGATGGCAACTGATCCGGTAAGTCTGGCGTAACTGTTGCTTGAAAAAAAGCCAAAAATGATTGTTTTTGGGTTCAATTTTTGGGTCTGAATATCTCAAATAAATTGCACCGTATTATCTTTGTTTAAACTAAAAACAAGTTTCGTCTTCATCATCTTCGATACCCTACATGACCGTATGATCTTAAATAAACAAATGAGAAAAAAAAGCGTTTCAATTTTCAAGTTTTATTCGTTTTATCCGGATAATTCAAATGAGCGCTGTTCTACGAGTGATAAACATGGAAAACATTCCTAAATTCACAGAATTTTCACACACACTGGGATAATCAAAGACTAATTTTCTTTTTCATTTTCGTTTTGTTGCACTCATTCTGTGGTTTTAAGGTTAAACGCACTATTTGATTCCAATCAACCGAAGCAAAGCTGCACTGCCCGAACACAAGCAGAAATGTAAGACCATTGCCAACAGCAGACTGACCACATAGTGAAAGAGTAAAAAATGGCCGTCAAAATTTTGTAAAAAGTGACCAAAACAACATAAAAAGTGACCAAAAGTGACCTTCGCTCTCCAACACAAACAAAAAAAAAACATTTAAGGCGGTCAACAAACTTAATTTAGCTGTAATTAAACTAAAAAAGTTGTTCGATGACAAAGGTAACGAGAAGTTTTCTTGCCGAAAACAACATAGGATATCTAGAATTCAATGCGAATTTTCCCATCATAAGTTGTCTCGTCTAGATGCAGGGCATAGCGTTTCATAATAAGCTTAAAATTGAGTTCTCAAGGCGAAGCGGCCCTTTAAATACTCAAGCAAAAACATTACAAGAATTTTTTTTTTAATTCTGACGAACGACTTGAACATCAATACTTAGAAAAACTACGACATATGCAGATACCCGATATTGATACTTGAAAATGCGCTAAACCACCAGACAATTTTGGCTCCAGAGCTTACGTGAATGAACTCATAATTGATCAAGAATTGGCTCCACAAAAACACAGCTGTTCGGTTAATTTTTTCTAGGCGACAAATTCCGGTGATATGTAACAATATGATGTAATTTTGATTATAGCTCATGTATTAAATTGGAGAACTATAATGCACAATATTGTCATTTCATTTTCAATCATTTGCACTACTACTACGGTAGATATTGTATACAGATTACTCTGCCAGATCAAATGCTATTCAAAAATTAGGATTTTACTTTTCTTGTGACTTTTGAAACAAATTATAAATATTGTGCGAAGTATAACAAAAAGCGATCCAGCTATTCGAATTGAACCTACCACCACTTGAAATTTATCACCTAAATTCGTTAAGTTTCGATCTATTTAATCACTGCACAGGCTGTTTGAAGCGCTGAGTTCGGTTAAAAATGACCAAGTGTACGGGAAAGAGCTAGCTAAAATAACGCAAGTGCGAACTAAAATGAAGCAAACAAAAAAAAACGCTAAAATAACAAAAATTCTCGCTGAAAAATGGCCAAAACCCAGTGATTTGATATGAGTATATAGATAATGTTCATTGGTAAATCAAGATATCAGTAAACAATTTTCAAAATTTAAAATCAAAATGCGTTAAATCAATTCACGAATCGGAATCATCCAAAAAACACGCATATCCACCCAAAGCTAAGCGAAAATGGATTTTCAAAAAATTTTTAACATGATTTATTTTGTTTTAGATATACGTTACAGAAAATGACGAATTTTGAAGTTCTTCTTCGTCAACTTCTTGCACACCATGATAATTCACCTTGATAAAGAATGTTTGTTTTTTTTTCGACTCAGAAGAACCTAACTTTGTTTTATCAAAGCAAGCGAAAATTAAAAATATATTGTGCCGAAAATCGCCTACAGAAAATATAGATTTTAAAAGTATATTTTACAAATGTGCTCCATACTTTGAGTTCCACAAACTGTCAATAAAAAGCATAGCTTCTGGACATTTCAACAGAGGAAAATTGGTAAATAGAACAGTTTTAAGTTGTTCTTTTGACTCTAAAACTGACTCTTGTAGAACTCCGTTTTCGTCTTCAAGACGCAGTTTATTATTCACAAAAACCACAGCCTTTCCATTCTTAAAACCAGTCAGTATGAAATTTTGCTCCCAAAACGCACCGACATCTATTTTGGATCGCTGGCGGCATTTCAAGTATTCGACCAATCGTTTCTTCGTTCCAACTTGTGTGAAGTCTAAAACTCCAGGATCATCAGGAGTTTTCATACAATACTCTTCTTCGTCTGTTTCGTAGAACATTGAGTATTCGTCACCCTCCCCCAAATGTTTATAGTACCGGAAATATGTGTTAGTATCGTGAGAGTAAACGAATTTGTTCATGACGAACGAACTCCGTCCTAGTTCTACAGATCCCTGAGATTTGACTTTGTGCAACGGTACTGCTTGGAACAGGGGTGCCAGACGCGTTCCAGGGTCTATCAACCTAAATGAATCATCATGCTTAAAGTGAATAACTTATATAAAGGATGATTAATTGATCAAATAATTTGTAGTCATCGGGGAAATATTCTTCGTGTTCAAGAATCAAATATTCGTGTTCAAGAATCAAATTGCGATACAAAACAAGAAAGCCACTAAGTAGCAAAAAAATTTCGAAAAAATATATCTATCAGAATGAATAAGGCTAGTTTTGCAAAAAAAAACGCATAAACAGAATATGAAATTAGCATCGGAGAAAAAGTTAATTAAGCGGTAACAAAGCCGAAAAACACCTTATCAGAAACCCTTGACACCGAACAGTTATCAAGTCCCCCTTGCCCTCAAAACACACACACACGCATATACAATTTTTTTCGCTCGTCGAAAGACTAATATGAGGCCATTCAGCATATTTAATATCAGCCAAAACCTACGAAGCGGAAAAAGTAAAAAAAAATCCAAAACCCAAGAAAATTGTTGTCATGAAATCTATATATTATATAAAGAGTTTTTTTTTAGCATTTTGTGCAATCTAAAGGGGCGCATAGAAATTACGTTTCCATTGAAACAACTCAAAAACAGCTAGTGCTTTTCGATAAAAAAATAAGCCGAAACCATTTGGGCAGAAAAACATTTTTGAGCGATAAAAAAAAACAAAAAACGAAAATATAAGAAGCCAAGGTTAGTAAAATAACAAACGGCAAAAAAATGAAAAAAATCGGGACACTAAAAGCAACTAAAATTTTGCGTACAACAAAAAAAAAAACATTCTACGATGTGGCGACTACGCCGACAAAATCCAAGCAGACAAATAATAAGCCGATAAATTTTTCTAACCGGAATAATTATCTATAGAAAAAAAACAGGTCCTGTCAGATTCGAACCAGGACCTTTGCCGCCCCAGGCGTAATCGTAATCTCCAGACCAAAAGCGCCGGAGACACAAAAAATTTTGAATGCATTATAGAGACATTTTCTTAGGAATAGCACAACTGTTTTTGAGCGAAGACAAATCAAAAAAGGATAGAGGATTGTTGTGCAAGTAGCACAGAAAGTTCCGACCACATTCATAGAACAACAGCAAAGAATTTTTTCTTTGCTGTTGTTCTAAATTTTAGAGAAGTTTTTTTTGTTCGTTGAGGGACGCGAAAATTTTAAAAACACGTAGAATGTTAGTGATTTAGACATAATCAACAAAAATTGACTTCGGAAATGATTAAACAAAAAAATCTAATTTTATTCCACACTTAATTTTTGAAGAACATTTTTATTGCTAGGAAGCGCTAAATGAAACTGATTTTACGAAAAATAAAAAAAATTTTGATGTTTCATTTAGCGTTTCCTATGCAATTCAAAATGTTCTTCAAAAACTTTTTGTGGAATAAAATTAGAAATTTTTTGTTTAATCATTTTCGAAGACAATTGTTGTTGATTATGTCTAAATCACTAACTTTCTACGTGTTTTAAAAGCTTTCTCATCGCACCACGAACAACATAAAACTACTCTAAAATTTTGAAGAAAAAATTCTTTGCTGTTGTTCTATGAATGTGGTCGGAACGTCCTGTGCTATTTGCACAACAATCGTCTATCCTTGTGTTGCTTTGCCTTCGCTCAAAAACAGTTGTTTTATTCGTAAAAAAATATGTTTTTGTAAAATCAATCTTTTTAACCAATTTTCCAAGCCAATATAACCAATTTTCGTATAACGAACTAATTCTACTCGATCGCGTTACTCACTCGAAAGTAATGAGACTAAAACTCAAAAATTTCAAACCAATTTCTGTCGACACTGGGACAGCTTTTTGAAATTTTGTAATGTCGCTCGAATCACGACTAAAGAATTAAACATGAAACCATTCGACTTATTCCAATGATTATTTGTGGCACCTGATTTTGCGAGAAACACAAAAAAAAAAGAAACTAAAACACACCCGAATACAAAGTCTCTCCTATTTTTTAATGGTCGAAACAACAGGCAGGTCTCTTACCGTAACAGTAAAGAACATATCGATGAAGCAAAAAAAGGCGAAACCAGGTCAAAAAACTCAGAATTATTTATTAATTACTCAATAAAATACATCATGACTGAAATACATCTAAACAAAAAAATCTAATTTTATTCCACACTTAATTTTTGAAGAACATTTTTATTGCTAGGAAGCGCTAAATGAAACTGATTTTACGAAAAATAAAAAAAATTTTGATGTTTCATTTAGCGTTTCCTATGCAATTCAAAATGTTCTTCAAAAACTTTTTGTGGAATAAAATTAGAAATTTTTTGTTTAATCATTTTCGAAGACAATTGTTGTTGATTATGTCTAAATCACTAACTTTCTACGTGTTTTAAAAGCTTTCTCATCGCACCACGAACAACATAAAACTACTCTAAAATTTTGAAGAAAAAATTCTTTGCTGTTGTTCTATGAATGTGGTCGGAACGTCCTGTGCTATTTGCACAACAATCGTCTATCCTTGTGTTGCTTTGCCTTCGCTCAAAAACAGTTGTTTTATTCGTAAAAAAATATGTTTTTGTAAAATCAATCTTTTTAACCAATTTTCCAAGCCAATATAACCAATTTTCGTATAACGAACTAATTCTACTCGATCGCGTTACTCACTCGAAAGTAATGAGACTAAAACTCAAAAATTTCAAACCAATTTCTGTCGACACTGGGACAGCTTTTTGAAATTTTGTAATGTCGCTCGAATCACGACTAAAGAATTAAACATGAAACCATTCGACTTATTCCAATGATTATTTGTGGCACCTGATTTTGCGAGAAACACAAAAAAAAAAGAAACTAAAACACACCCGAATACAAAGTCTCTCCTATTTTTTAATGGTCGAAACAACAGGCAGGTCTCTTACCGTAACAGTAAAGAACATATCGATGAAGCAAAAAAAGGCGAAACCAGGTCAAAAAACTCAGAATTATTTATTAATTACTCAATAAAATACATCATGACTGACAAGGTATCACTACAGAGACTTGCACAATGAGACAGTTTCATTCAATGTCTAGGGATTAAAAATGAAAACCATTCTATAAGAATGAAAAATGCTATTAGAAAGAAAGCTAAAAACCAATTTGGAACCTCCGAGGGACATTTATACGCGGGATGTATCTAAGAGATCGTTGCAAGTTTGTACGTCACTTTTAAAGCATAAACCGCCACCAAAACCTACGTCAGTTGCAAGAACCATTCAAAGACCACGATTTATAGAATCAGCGCCATCTACAGTCAAAGATATTGCAAAAACTTCTCAGCTGGCTCTTGATCAGGCAAATAACATTTTGGTTTGTGAATTTGGACCTGATAACGCTTAACGCAAAAAAATAGGCCAAGTGGAGTACAACATAACTGGGCATGCGGATAGAATTTTGAATCGTGCATTCCATTTTATGATGAACACAAAAAAAAACTCTTGATTTTATTCTGCTCGATTGCGAACAGACGTCTATCAATGCGTTGTTTTCAGATTTTCCACGAGCCGAAAAATGTATTTTTTTATTTTGCGAAAACTAATTGGAGAAAACTCAAAGTGCTGTTTATTGCACAGGCCTTCATTTATTGCACAGGTTGCTTGGAAGTAAGCAAGTGGCCCAGCTAAACACTGTTGAACCAGCTTGATACTTTTTATGAATATATTGTAATGATACGAAGGTTAAGCATAATGAGTGATAATGGGAGTGCGAAGAAATTGATGAAATTATTGAGGATAGTTTGTAACAAGACCTCATAACGCTCCAGATAAATTTTGCTGAAAAAGGAGGGCGAAGGCCACACTTGTAACTTGGAAGCTCATACCACTCGCCGTGAAGTTAAAAAAGCTGTCAATATGGCAGTGGGCTTCAGTTCAACATGAAGTTAAATTTGAAGTGCAGTTCATTTGAGCCGCAAATTTCACAAAACAATGAATTTTAGCAGCGAGTAAGGTTAAATTCCTATAATGTACTTTAAAATAGGATCCTGAATAATCCCCCTGTACGGTTTAGAATATAATTTATCTTAACTCGAGAGCACTGCCTCGCGTACTTTTCCCATGACAGATCAAGAAGAACGACAACAGCCAAAACGTATTACAACTATGAACATAGAGGCGAAGCTGCGCTTCGCAAACACTTGCGAGAACACGACCAAAAAGCAGCTCTCGCAGCATCTATCAAGTGACATAAGAAAAAGTAGAAATAAGCCTCGAATTTGCAAAAACTCGAGGCTTAGCAAAAACTCGAATTAGCAAAATTCTGCTACCTAGCAAATTTGAGTCTCAAGCACTAACCATTCAACCACGGATGCTTGAATTCCAAAAAACTAGCTACCAATAATGCAGCTACATATGCTAATAAATTGCCAATTAGATGCAGCATAACTAGCATCAAATACAAACAGATACAATTTTGCATGTCAAAATCGCAAATCCTTAAGCCATATTATGTGAAATTAAGCATTTCAGAAAATAGCGAGATATAATGAGTTAGAAAATTTCTGAAACCGAGATTTTATTATTGTTATGTTGTTTGAAACAAATAGCTTTCTTCGGTTCACTTGATGAATTAAAAATGCATCAACTGTGTAAACTTAAAACTATTCAAATGTCAAAGCACATGTTATCAATAAGCTGTATAGGTGCAACTAAAAATCAAAGGTGCAACTACAGGCAAGCTAAAGCTTGAAATACCTGTTTCATCATTTTTGAAAGTTTTGTGTTGATGCGGAAGGACAAGTGTAATTTCGAAAACAGACCTATAGCAAGAAAAGTAAATCCCAATTTAATGACTTCAAAATCTGTTAACTTTATCAATTACTTCAGTTTTCTTGAAAATTGAAGTGATTACAAGAGCTTGCTAAGTTAAAAGATGCTTAAAACAATGCTCATTAGATTGGGGTGGGTAGTTTTCGAGAGAAGTCAGTAAATTTCAAAAAACGGTTAAAGAATCGAAAATTTAAATTTTCCGAGGTTCATAACTTTTTGAGTAAAAAATTGGGCTTAACCGCTTATACAGTGGAGCTGCTTCTCACAGCCCGTTCTTGACACTGAAACCGATATCTCAGATTCGGGAGTGTTGTTTTCGAAAGAAGTCAGTAAGTTTCAAAAAACAGTCAAAAATTCGACTTTTCTGAGGGTCAAAACCTTTTGGGTAAAAAAAAATTGGGCGTAACCGCTGATGCAGGAAAGCTTCCCACAACCCGTTCTACCTATTGAAAACAAAATCTCTGATTTGGGACGGTACTTTTCGAGAAAAGTCAAAAAGTTTGAAAAACGGTTAAGAAACCAAAAATTCGAAACCTTTTTTGAGGGCCATATAACTGTTACGGTTAAGAAACCAAAAATTCTTTTGAAGGTTAAGAAACCTTTTTTCTAGGGCCATATAACTGTTACGGTTAAGAAACCAAAAATTCGACACTTATGCCCACAAACTGTTCTATCCGTTGAACCCAAAATCTAAGATTTGCACGATTAGCTTTCGAGACAATGCGAAAATCCAAAAATTTGGGTCAAAAGTTCCCCACACATTTTTTCGAAGGCTGTAGAAAGTGGTGTGAGAAAAGAAAGAGAGTAGGGGAGTATGCACGCAAACAGGAGAGTGGGCGGATTTCCTATAGGTACCACTCTTTTGAAAATTGGTGCAGTAGTTTTTGAGAAAAACTGAAATTTTCCAAAGCGTCTCAAAAAATTTTTTAAAAAATAACATTCTCATAATGCCTAATTTCATCGAACAGGAAAAAATATCAAAATATATTATTGACAATTCGATGCAGCAAACTCGACGCAGCAAATATTGCTCCTTTAAATGGCAACAGTAATTGCGATTTAGTCGCAACATAATTCGCAACAATATTTGCGACTTAGCTTGGAAAAAAAAGAAAGTTCGTACTATAACACATTGCTTCGCAAGGGTAAATGTAAATGTAGAATTTAGCAGCAGACAATATAAAACTTTTGAAAGCAGGTTTACAAAAAAAAAACATTTTACCAGTCAAAAAATGTAGTTTTCACACATCCATAGCGATTTCCCTACTATTTTAAAGAAAAATCACTTGTGCACAAAAGATACCCAGAATTCATTTTTTTGTAAAACCTTCAATCCCAGATTTAGCAGATTAGTTACCAAAAAAAGTGAAAAAGTTTCACAAAAACGGTCGAAAAATCAAAAAAAAACTTCTTAAGGCCATTACTTTTAGTCTACAAAGATTAATTAGAAAGTAGCCGCTAAAAAGGAAGATCCTGACGATTTCTTCTTTTTGACTAAAATCGCAATCAAAATTTGGACATTCTCTAAGTCCGTTTTTTTTTCAAAATTAAGGCGTCGCCGAATATGCAGACAAGATAACCCTAATCTGTTGTTTCGATTGAACTAGATTCGGAAGGACATTTTGCAGAATAAAAAAAACAAAAAGTTGCAAAAACGATCAAATGTCAAAGAAAAAGAAAAATATTTCTAGAAAAAGAAGGGCCACAACCAGTTCTTAAGCCTGAACACTTAATCCCAGATTTTGAAGAATAGTTTCAAAAAAGACAAAAATGACAGAACATCTCAAGCCAAAATTACTTTCTACAAAATTCAAGTCGTAGCCACATACTCATGGGAGATTCCTATAAAATAATCTCTCGATTGAACCCTTGATCTCTGATTTTGTCGAAAATTTTTTGAGAAAAAGAAAACAATCGAAACAATGGGTCAATAATTTCCACAGCTGAAACTTTCGAAGACCGCAGAACCTGGTATATGATAAAAAGAGAGTAGCGGAATATGCAGGCACATAGGGGAGCAGCCGATCTGTCCATTGTTACCACTTACTAGAAAAAATCGCCGAAAATTTTTAAAGCAAAACTAAGTTTTTAAGAAAACTATACAAAATTTTGTCGAGAAAACGACAAAAAAGCAGCTCTCAAAAATGAAACAAGTGGCCGCTTAACGACGACAACACTAAAGAGAACACGACAATAAGTAGTTTTTAAAATGCAATAAAAAATATAAATAAGCCTCAAATTAGTAAAAATGCGGTTACGTTTCGCATTCGATCCGCGACCTAGAGATTATGAGTCTCACGCACTAACCACTGAGCCACGCAAGCTGAATTCAACACAATCATTAGCCAAAAATAAGGCAGAGAAAAAATGCTATAAAATTTCCAATGCCAGATCGTTCTTATTGCAAAAGTACCAGCAAACAAGTTAAAACTTTCTGCTTTTAATGAACCCTTTTACTTGCGAGTTAGTTTAGAAAAAAAAGAAGGTTCGTACTAAAACACTAGCTGCTCGCAAGTGTAAACACCATGTCCCATACATTTTCATAAAGCTTTTTTATGAACCAGGAACTAACACTTACATAGCCACCAATAAAACAGAAACAGATGCTACTAAATTGCCTGTGGTCGGAACTATACCAAACGTGCGACCAAATGAGCACTTATCTTTGCGAATAAGGTTGGAAAAAAGTTGAATTGTAGTATTAGAGTACGCTGCACATGTGTAATGAGTATCAGCAAAATTCGATTTACTGATTCCATAAATTATTTCATTTATTGCACGCAACCCAGGAGACGCATTCCATATGAGGTTACGGATGTGAACAGAACACCTTACCAAACATCATCGGATCCAGTGACAGTTCTGACCAGCGCAATGCAGTGCAACATCTCCATTCCCACTTTGTTCCTGGTGATTCCCATTCCCATGTACGCATCATAGCCCAGATGTTTCATTAGGGCAACTAAAATTGTGCTGAGCATAGTGCATGTGCCCCCTTGACCCAGGAGCAGTCGAGTGATCAGAGGGGAAGTGTAGAGTTGGTAGGGAGCGACCTAAAAACACTTCTAGATTTCAATCAACAGCCAGTCAGTGTGCAAATAGCACCGAATGTTCCGATCACACTCATCTTTTCAAACAAAATTATTTGTGTTTTCTGTTTTTTTTGGTGATGAATTGCTAGGAATTTTACAATGCAATTATTTTTTGCAAACTTTTGTTAACAGCAATTACATTAGAAAGAATAGATCGGCTTTTCTTTTTTAAGTCGACCAAATTGATTTTCTGAGCTCTCTCAAATCACTATAAAGACCCTATTTTAGGACAAAATTTTCCGCGCCGCAGGCAAATTGTTGAAAAATCAAGTTGACCAAAAAATTGCGTTTTTTCGGCGCGCGCTCTCCCCTCAAAATTAGTATATATTTGCGCTAAAGGCGCCTTTAGAAAAACTTTAAGGTCAATCAGTCAAAAATGGATATCTCAAAATAGTACAAAGTACCCACATATTATTTTGCTCATTATTTTTATCATATGAAACTTAAGTTAACATTGCCTCTCGATTGTTTTAAGATTTCGCATGCAAGCCATTGCCCAATTCCATATACATTTGAGCTTCATCTGCAACCTTTTAAAATCTGTGGTTCTAGCGCGAAATCTATGTTCGTCGGTAGTGAAGGGGAACGGTAATAGAGCATGTGATTTTTTGTTTTGTTTGGAGATCTTTTTTGGGGTGATGAGAAAAAATTGCCTTGAATCGCTTGTCTCCTAGAAACATGCTGTTGGTGGCGTCCCAGATGTTGTTGAATGGACACCTGATGTGCATCCTCTCGGCCAGCAGGTGCAGCAGTGCCACCGGGTCCCTCCTCTTCAAATCTCTCGCATCTGGAATGAGGAGTACGTGGGAACAGAAAAAGTCCAGCTGGGCGGCCCAGAGGACTGTTGATGACATGCTGGGTCTGAAAAAAATCAACCATTTTTTCTTCATTATTTTTCTAGTGAGATCAAATACATCAAAGCCTTTTTTGAGCTTACAGCTCACTTAGAGACCCTCCTAGATGAACTGTTCAGTCTTTGAAGTACAGCAGTGATCATTCTGAAGCTCTTCTACAGTGTGTAATTTGAAATTCACAAACAATTTCCTTCAAGATAGGAACAAATAATCGGAAAACTTCAACTACTGGTGCGGCTATTTCAAAAAACAATCAGTAGATATTGAGCACAATTAAGTCCTCCCGGTATACGCCCGCTGACTCATCTGACGGAGAATTGGTCACCAAATAAAATGCATGAGATTCTAATAATACAACGAAATCGCCAATGAAATTAGACAAAGGAAAGTGGAATATCAAAAAAAAATGGAAAGCAAATTAGGGATATCAACAAAAAGCCAAAATCGCGTTCTGAGGAAATGAAAAAAAACTTTGCCTAGGCAAAAGAAGTCAGAACTTCTGAAAAAGATTATTACTGAAGGCACTTGCTGAAGGCCGAAGAGACATACAATGGGCTATGACATTATCCCATTTTCCTCAACACAAGATTTTTTAAAAAAAACTTTCAAAAAATCTTTTAAGGTTTTTTTAAGGATTTGATGGTCTTCAGAAAAAGGCGCCGTCAGAAAAATTTTGGGGTCCGTCAACCAAAAATGGATATCTCTACATAGTACAAAAGGGGGACCCTTTGGGTCGGCAGGGGGTCGAATCCCTGGGGGGGGGGGGGGAAGGGGTCATCCCTTCATAAATCCACCCCTGGTGCCTAGAAAAATTGCCACCCCTGTAACAAACAAATTAAGCTGTGTAGCATGTGAGATTTTCTATCTTGTAATGAATTTACCTCCTTTAGCAATAGGGCGGGAAATAGTTAACAAGGTTAACTACATTAAGACTTTCTGTTTTATTTATCTGTTTATCTTTTTCAATTTATCTTTATATTATTTGGGAATTCGTTTAACATTAACTCAAAAAATTAAATGGGATAGTTTTATATTATAAGACTTAGTTTTCGTTTCGCGAAGTAATATATGGGAAAAATCAGAATTAAGAAAATTATCCATACTAAAACAGTTTTGATCAGCGATCTACATTCTAGCAATGTCAAGAGATACTCTAACTCGGCAAAAATACTGTCACATGGCCAAACTGTTTTTCAAGTTCGACTTAGAAAACCAACTTGAAAATGAAATGATGAAGTTTAACCACCTAAAATGATAGTTCGGAACAAAAAAAATCAAAGCTGCCGCTGAAACATTCACCGCCAGTTGGATTTAAGTGCTATACAGTATTTTAGAACCGCTTTCAACAGATTTTATGATTACTCAAATTACAGATAAAATATAAAATATATTACGTTGGCGTAAAGATTTTATGCTTTCATCTATTTTCCCGCTAAAGTTTTCAATTTTCGATTTCTTTGCTTATTTATTGAAACTGATCCTGTAAGAATCATTTTCCCTGTTTCATGCTTGTTTCAGAGTCATTGTTTTAAATTTGTTCATGACTCCATTAGGCTATGGTTTTTCTTCTAAAGATAGACGGTTGCTGTTCCAGAAGTACAATTCTACAACCACGTGAATAATTGCATATAAAATTAGTGCTGGTTTCAATGGGATCAATTTGCTTGCCTTATTGTTCCGACTTTCGATACGAAAGTAACGGAATATTTGTGCTCGGGGTGGGTTTTTTTTCTTCAGACAAATTTCGACTTTTTAACTAGCCATTTTTGACGGAATTTTTTAAATATCACTCGAAAGGTATTGTTGTCCTGAGCTCAAATTTGAAATGATATTTCACCTGTGATCATTTTTCGTAAAGTTATGGGGGTTTAAAGATTAGCATTTTGGCCAATTTAGGACAATTAACGCGCGATATATTTCGCGCTATTAACGCGTAAGAGGAGAGTTAATCCGTCTTAGAAATTGTTCCAAATTGGTTGAAAGAAGCTTATTTGCCATAATTGGTTTGTTACAAGGAGCGAAATCTATCCTTTTGTACTTTATATGGCTGGTGGGGGGATGATTTTCATAAAAATTTTCAAATTTTAGAAATTTTTTTTTCATTTTGTTTTAATTCATTGAATTTTTTAAGGTTATTATTGCTCCATAAACCTTAAAAGGCAGTCGGAACATTCAGGGCTTCGCCCTGATTCGAGCAGTCATGTTTAATTTGATGACATCAATTTTTACAGAAGAAGAATGACTTCGAAACATCAATTTTTACAGAAGAAGAATGACTTCGAAATTTTTAAAACCAGTTTGAGATATCGATTTCTTGACATCGTATTCACATATTTAATAAATTATGCACGTTTTTTAGAGCTTGTCAGATTGCACAACGCCTAAGCAGGAACTTTTTTTCAGCGCTTCGAAGTATTTAGAAGTGAAAAGTTTTTTAAATTGCATAGAAGGAAGCTGTCTATTCCTAATAGTCCTCATCAAAACTCAAAGTTGAATACGATATTGGTTTGGGGGCTGTGAATCAAACAAAAAAATCGCAATTTCAAAATTCAAAGCTCTGTAAGTTTTTTTGACACATGCAGTACTTTTTTGTGCTGCAGCGGTCTTTTTGAATTCTATACACGGAGTTGAGACCAAAACTGCTCGTCAAACAAAAACTATTCAAAATCGCAAAAAAAATGTTATTGTGTGATTTGGTTGGTCAATTTGGTACCATATTCAATTTGGATAGCTAGACCTTTTGAGGCTTTGAATAATTTAATTGGACTACTTAATCTGATGCTCCGGGAATTCAACTGAATAAGTTATTGATTAGTTTGCAGCGAACCATGCCGCTTACTATATTTGATTTAAATTAAAATTTATTATAAAATATATTAATTTTGATATTGAATTAAAAGATCCTTAGTTTAGAACTTTATCAAACATAACAGTTTCGTACAATTGCCAACCTCCCCCCTCCCCGCCCCTCCCCTCCCCTCCCCTCCCCAATCAATGTAGTGGGGATAAGGTACTGGTTTTTTTTAATATTTTTATACATCAACATTCAGGGCAAACTAAATTGCTCTTATTAGTCAAAAAAAATTATTTCTAAAAATCTAAAATAACTTTTGTTTGAAATGATTATTTTATACGAAATCAATTTTCAAAATTAATACGTCGCTAGGGGGGAGAGAGCTTCTACATTCTACGGTACGTCACTTAGGGGGGGGGGGGGGAGGATTGTACGGTTTATACTAGGCAGAAATCCATCCTCAGTTTCAAATGTAATTAGCAAGCTATCGGGCGACAACATTTGAAAAATTAAACATATTTCATGAAGCGAATTGGTTCCCAAAACATAAAGTAAGTTTTTCTTATGCAGGTTGATCAAACGATGAATTTTTAACCAAATCGTTTCGTGAAAAATGTTAGTTATTCTAAGCAAGCTATTGAAGCGATGAACTTAGAACAATTCGTAAATATAGGTTTAAGCCAAGTCGTAAATATAGGTTTGAAAAATTTTAAATTTCATTACCGAATCGGTTCGCGAAAAGTTATGACCTTTTTGAAGTATTTCAAGTTAAGCAAGCCACTCCAGCTGTGAGGGTTCAAAATATTTCAAATCAATTCAAAGAGCGAATATGTTCGCAAAACAATCAAGTTTTTCTATGCAATCTATTGAGCAAAATTTTTTGAAACATTTAAAGTTATTTCATAGAGCGACACAGTCCGAGCAGATTCAAGTTGAATCGAGTCCATTTTGTTTCGAAGTTTTCGACTTTTTCAGAGAGAATTCTAGAAACTATTCGACTTTGAATATTCGATGGTCGCTCAGAATGATTCTTAGACGCTCTGATCTAACCCTTTTTAAACGTTCCGCTCGACAGCTCCTTAAACACTAGGCCTTGTGCTAAGATTTCAAGCAAGCATTTCGAATAACCAAAACCAGAAATATCCGTCTCGCAATACTCGTCGAGAAAAAAATATCCCGAAAGTTTTCGAATCGCGGATGTTTCTTGATTGCTGTACAGGGGCACTACTACAATTTAAGTGTAAAACCGTTCACACTCCAAATTCTCGCTGACTTTCTAGACACGCGCATCGGTTGGTACAAACTGGCCAGCAAATGCTCAGATCAAAAATTATTGCAAGTAAAATATCCTATTACCTAAGCAAGAAAATGGCAAAGCTAAGCTCTAAAATGGTTTTAAGAAATATATACAAGCCTTGAAAAATTAAACTTTCGCTATGTAACCAAATCGAACAGTGGACCACAACAAGTGAATATTAGTGCAAAAAATAGCAAAAGCAACAAATTCTTCCAAATGGCCACTTATCTGGCAAAAAGGTTACAAAGTTCATTTTTGATTGCAACTTTGGTTTGAAAAAGTGATTTTGTAATATAAATTTATGCTAGCTAGCTCGCATGTGTAAGAAAAATTTATTTCGAACTCAGAAAATAAAAAACATAACAATCACCCACAGCGAAAATATTCCGATAATTTCTTTGTAAGTAGTCTTTTTAGAGCAAACATTTTTTTATAAACGTGAGCAAAAGTCAAAATGATAGGATAAGATTGCTAGAGAAACTGATAATAGATCAGTGTACAAGAATATAAGAAATGATTGTAAAAATCTGCTATATTTTGAGCCTAATAGAAATATTCTGTAAAACCTCAATTTAAGCACACACTATGCGTTACCTGTCACACCATAAAAAGTCGAACCGAAGTACAAACGTGCTAGAGGCGTCGCAAGAAACTATTAGAGCCCCTAATGTAAATACAGCAGCTCCTCGAAAGTTTTAACATTTTTTGCTTTGCAGTGATCTCAATTAAAGAATCGAATAAACTTGCGCAAATAACCCAGGTGAATTATACGTTTGTTGAAAAGTCTAGAAAATGGCCACCCGGCGTTAATTGATTTAGTTGTTCGCTGAGAATAAGTGTGATTTTTTATGTGCTGAATTGTGGTTTTTAACCGTATACCCGATATATTGAGAAAAAAGGAAACATTAAAAACATCTTGCAGTATAAAAAGCACAAAATGATCAACAAGTCCACCAAGCAAGATAAAACTGTAAAATGCAGTAGTTTTCCCACTAGTTATCCCTTAAGTAACCTAGAACATCAAAAAAATTTTGAGTCAAACAGTTTCAAAAAGTACAGAGTAATTCTTTCTTAAATTTGTTCTCGTTTCTGTGCAAGATGAGCTGAGAAAGAACTACTTGCCGACCATTTTTCAGACTTTTGGCTATATTCAGAGTCCAGACTGAAAAGGTTTCATTGTGACATATTATATGACTTTACGAAGCGTTTTTGTGGTACCTGAGTTTGCGTTCCTTAACACTAATCGAAGAATAAAAAATGACATAAAAAAACGAAAACTTCAAATAGTGCTTTGAAGTTTGTTATCGTACAGATATCATGAAAAGTTCCATCTTTGACAACCATTCAAAACTAAACTTCGAAAGCGAGATGTGAAACATTATAGACAAAACTGGTAATCAGAAACTGATCAGAAACAAGTTGCAGATCCGATCAGGCAAAAAAGGCTATTCGGGGAGATGATTCACATTAATTTTAACCAAAAAATTAAGGTGAGTCAGTCCAGAAAAAAAATGCCGATTATCAGAAGTTTTGAGGCAATATGCTCAATTTTAAGTAGACGAATGTTATTTTTTTGCTTAATGTGCGGCCAATATATAAATAAGATCAGTCCAGTTCCGTTGCATCCGGAAATAAATAAACTATTCCCCATTATGTACTGAACTAATTAGGTGCAAAAAGGGAGCCCGGGATCTCAGCGGAAACTTTCGAGCAAATTTTTCAACGGCAAAAAAGCCTAAAACCCTGTTGCATTGCCCTTCGCTTATCATAAGGAAAATTACTGCATGAAAGATTTTACCTTTAGTAAATATTTTTTAACTTACCTATATTTTTTCCTAGTAAATATTTTTTAACTTAACTATATTTTTTCCAAATTTCAGGCAATAAGTTAGAAAAAACTGACAAACTTAATGGCAGTCGGAGTATTCAGCCTGATACGAGCAACCTTATTAAGTTAAGGTGTTCGGTACGCTAACCTAACAAACATCAGAACACATTACAGACGTGGTAAGCTCATGAAATTTGTATGCCTAACCTGCAGATTTTCTTGCAGAGGCAGACACGCCTAGTAGATACTATTCTAAAATATAATAAAAATTTCATAAAATATTTGGATAAAAACGTGAATATAGAGACCACAAATGATGGATTTTGATTGAACTCACCTTCAAATCAATTATTTCTTCAAACGCGAACAAGTTATAATTTCAAAAGCAGTACAATCTCCAGAGCTGCGTTTCAAACTGAACTATTGTAACGCAAAATAACGCTCCAAGATTCTTTAACTGCAGCACAACGAGTAAAACAGTAACTTATCGATTAGATGAAAGAGTAATTATACCGTAACGAATGATCTATAATGTCAACCTCTTAAACACAAAGCTTCAATATAGATTAAAGCCGATATACCACGCAATGGCGAATCAGTTTTTTCAAAGTTTGGCGAAGCTTCGAGTTAAGTCTGTTGAATCAAGTTGAATCTGAATACAAACAAGTCACGTATACTGTCACGTTCAATCAAGGCTTGAGCAATTAGTTTTGATATCCAATATCGACTGCTTCAAGTGATTTGAGTTTCTCGTAGAAAAATTTTGCTGTAGAATATGAACGTAAAGTTTTCAGAAAAATTAAGCTTAACGCCGAAAAGTAAAAATTCGTGGTCATCAGTCGCAAAAACTCTTGTCAGGAAAGAACATTCCTTTTTAGGAATCAGAAAGATGACTCAATTACCTATCTGCAACTAGAAGTGTATAACTTGCAACTAGAACTCAGTTACAGCAACTAGAACCTGATAACTGCAACTAAAACTATTTATAGCTCTGAACTCTAGACAGTATGCACCATTATCTTATGACAAGTATTTTCTTTTAGCTGCAGAAAAAATCATGAAAACAAAATCGAAACAGCCATTAAAAACCAAGGCAAAATCAGAGGGCATCAAGAACCAGAAAAAAAACAATTAATTAAGGGTTATCATATGGCGAAAGAGATGGTGTTTTTTTTTCTAAAAATTTCTAAATAAAATTTTTTAGTAACAGACTGAAACTTTAGATAAACCTTACTTTTAGATAAAAGTTGTTATTGAATGCTCTTCTGCGTTAATACTATCCCATATCGTGCTGGAAAGGTATTCGTTTTGATTTATGAGCCTGATCATTTTAGAGATACAAATTTGGACTTCATGTAATAGTCATTCACTCAACCCTTAGAAAATTCAAACTTCGAAACAATACACTAATTGCAGTTTCAATTACAACCAAATTTAAAATTCCCTCCGGTTTTTTTTTAAAATTTCATCACTGCTTCATTTTTACGAAAACAATGCAACTAACTTGATTGGAGCCTCTAACTTTCTCTACTTCTCTCTTAAATAAATAGAAAAAATTATCTGGCAGCACCAGCTCCACCGTATGTTTCTATCTCGGCGTTTCTGGAGGACAAAACCAGCGAGCTCAATATTGACATCTTCATCTAGAAGAAAAAACACTGATTTTTTATTCAAACCTTGGAGAAGCTGCGCGGAATGATCTCGAACAAGCTATAGAGCAATTGCAAAATCGATATTCGGGGCCAGACTGAACTCAAAAATAAGACTTTCAAATACTAAATAGATATTTCAAACTCGAAACTGAGGATAAGCTCGACTTTCTAACTGATTTGAATCATCTAGCAAGCGTGGCTACTTTAGATGAATACGACGCAGAAATAAACCGAGCAGACGAGCTAACAGACGAGTGAGATAGCAATTCATTGGCGGAATGCTCTAAAAAACAAGAAGCTTCTGCTCAATTATTTGCAGAACAAGCTAACTGAATCCAAAATGACACGATAAATTCATCAATCCCAGCCATTCAAATAAACACCAGCAATTGCAATGAAGACCACGAGGTTCTTCGCATCTTTGCGAATTCATCATATTCTAGCTAAGCAGAAAGGAGTCAAAAAAATTCGTCCCATATCTAAGCGATAGATACAACTTCGATCAGGTTCTCGCAAAAATGGAGAGTTTTATACTGATGATGAAGACAAAAATTAACCATCTGATTTCGATGACCAGGTGAGTTATAATTTCGAAGAGTATCAAGATAGTCACGAAGGTTGATCTGGATCTGAATATCAAGAGAGAAATCAAGTCTCTGGTCAAGAACGATCTGAGACAGTCGAAAATAACTGGGCAAGCCGGACAAAAAAAGCCCATGGTTTTGCAAGCTGTGCGGCAGCGAAACTCATCTCACAAGAGACCGTGCAAGATATCTGTGCTACCTCGACTGCGAGTTATACGAACGCATGATTTCCTTTTCTACTTAAGCTCATCATAATTTCAATAAGACATTATGAATGTCTTGTTACTGATCTTCCCGCAATCTGGCTTGACAATAGTGCCAAAATACAGCTTTTTTTCAAATTCTGTTGGTTCTTTGGATTCTCCAACTCAAAAAATGCTCTCGTGAAAGAATGACTTCATCGATTTTGAAACAATGCAATATGCAGTCACAAAATGAGAATTAGAAAAAGTGTTATTCCAGCAGTAATTACTGAAAATCCTTTACAGTTTTTAAATGCAAGAAATCTTGTAGTTCAAAATTTTTAACAGATTCACTGAAACTTGGCGTTCATTTTCTTTCGTTTGCTGCCTAAGACTCAAAATTAGATAACCACTTTATAAAAAACAAATAATTTAGTACCCAGCGATAAAAGTTGACACCGGCACCCGAGGCCACAAACATTTAGCGCCCAGCTATCTCAATCTAAACTTCTGGGTTCAAAAAAAAAGTAATTTCATCGTGGAACAAATAATTTATTGAGACTGAATATTAGAAAATATATCAATCTGGTCCATTTTATATTTATATAGGCCATCTGCCGTCTTCATTATTTTTGTTATAAAAACATATAAATTTCTGGTGCTGTTTGCCCATGACTGTAACAACCGTTTTAAATACTTTTGAGGTAGTTTGCCCATTTTTGTTTCAAACAAACACTTGATTATCAAAACAACTGACATAAGACACACAAGCTGCTCAGTTGGCTCTTAAAACGCGTCATTTCTGTCTTCTCAAATTTTCCCCCTAGCAAAATATGCTGTTGTTGACATAACACATTGTACATACTTATTGTTAGTTTAATAAAGTTGCAAGGCACTGCTTTTTTTAACTACCTAAAAATTAGTCAGTTTTTTGAAAAGAAACTTTTGGTACGGGGCTTATCTGGCCAAAAAACCTCAGCAAGACACTTTCTCTTTCAAGTGTAATACGTTTCTAGCTAAAAAAAAATAGAGTTGTCATCCTTACAGCTCCTTATCGCAAGCTCAAAATGAATGAAACACTGAGCAGTTCCTGATTTCAAATGCTATAATTAGGGCAGATCCAGTATTTTCTTGAGGACGGATAATCATACTTTTTATACGTCGACCAAATAGATTTTCTGAGCTCTCCCAATCGTCATAAAGGCTTTACTTTGTGTTTAAAATTTCTTCGTCAAGGACAAGTTTTGGGAATTTTGAAAAATTAGTCAAGATCAGCGCCAAAGATGTCTTTACAAACAAATTTGCGTCGATCGACCGAAAACGGATCTCGAAACGGAAAATACTACAACAAACGGTTCACTCCTTTGGACTGTGAGGGGTCGAACCCCTGATTTAGTAGGCGTCTATCCCAGGCACTCCTCCCACCCCCCCCCTCCATAATCCGCTCTGGCTAAAATCTAGTTTTCAGTCTCAATTTAAACTCATTTGACGTTCTTAGACAAATAGTTATAGCAACAGTTTCGACAGATATTGGCAAGCTTGATAGGTATAAGTTTGAGCGACTTTATTTTTAATCACATTCGAATTATATTCGTTCAAATCCACATTTTTCATTTGTTCGATCGCAATGTCAGCTTTTGCTAGTTCTCCGCGCGAAGTATGGGCATTAATGATACACTCCAAAATGGACTTATCGTAAATAAATTTGTACAAATAATCACCAGCGTCGCGGGTGATCCGTGGCGAATCTGGACTGAGAAGACTGAATACCTTTGCATATTGCGGCGTCACCATCATTTGCGCAAATACTGCCGCTAGTACATTATAACACATCTTCTCACAGCATCGAATCATCAAAGTTAACAAATCATCACTCCAAAATCTTTTCCAGTTAAATGAAACTATACCTGATGTACTAGTTTGAACATTTGTCAATGCGAATCCATTTGTTACTCTCGAACCATGTTTTAAACACATTTTTAATGCTGCCTGATACTTTTCCTTCGCAATTTGAAGCTCAACGTAAGTTTTGACCCAACTTACAGACGATAATCCAATTTTCCTTTTGTGCAAAAGATGATCCAAGAATTGCTCAATCGTTCTTTGAATTGACGCCACGGTTTTAGCCGCGTTTGGTAAACTTTTATGTTCGATAAACAATTGACGCCAGGCGCCGCCACCTTCACTTAGTAGAGAAGATGTCAGCTCTATAACTAAGTTTTCACTATTAAGCACATTGTACAACCTAACGAGACAAGTTAGTAATGATTCTATTACAAATCCGTCAGTCAATCTAAGACAAAACAGCAGAAAATTGTCGCGAAGAGAAGTTGACTTTTCAACAGCAGCATCGGGTGCCACAACCATTCTTGGTCTTTTGTTCGAATCTTCCTCCGAACCCGTGTGCATTTCGAGTGTAATTGCGAACAGCTCTTTACAGCCATCAAATTTTGGCGTTCCATGGATCACCATGTTTTGTTTGAACCGAGCTAAGAATGCAATAACTCGGACTATTTTTAGTTTGAATTGGGTAAAATCGGTTAGATTTTTGTAGAACCCAGAATTAAGTAGACTAACAGCGCATGTTTCCACTATTTCACTTCGAATGTCGAACAAAGTTCCATTTCCAAGAAAGTTGAACAGCGTAGCTAAGCACTTCTGGACTAAATCATCACTTAATTTTTGCTCATTTCTGATCAGATCGTTCAAACGTGCATTCAAAGCTTCCCACTCGAAGCCCACACTCAGAGGCTGTGATTGGCCAGGCAGAACTCCTAACACCTGATTGGTCAACTGCGCTACATTCAAGAACCAATCGTGTGAAGTTCGGAACTCTCCGAGAGCCAAAAACCGGAACCCTTTTCCCAGTGCCAAAGGTACAAAAGACCTGTAGTAACTATCCGGGGTATTCACAGTTTTGATTCTGTCCAACCAAATTCTGGGAATCCAGCTTTCAAAGTGAACTATAATTGGACGCGCATTCGGCATTTGAATATATTCGTTCAAAAGTTCTCGCGTTTTGTCTATGCTCGACTCCATTATGATTTCATTTTCAAGAACAATCATTCGTTTGATCACGAGGTTTCCGGGAATTAACAGCGAAGAGTCTGATGACTTCGCGGGAATCTCTAGATGTGACTCTGTGTCGTCAATATCAGGCGAAAATATATTGTTAATAGCCGAGCTGAGAACTTTAACATCATCGTTTGAAAAAACTTCTTTAATTGGAGACTGCAACTCAGAGAGGATTTTTATGGCTATGTTTGAATCAACATGCGTGAGAATTTTCGACAGAAAGCTTCCAAAGATATTACGGCGCTCGTCTGCTTTGAACTTATCATCCCAAATGTAAGCTTGCATTCGCTTGTTTACCAACATCATCAGGAAAGCAACGTCCACTGCGGATCGATTTTTCAAAGCAAACAAGAAATTATTACAATCCGGTTGTTGCGAATGGAATTTTCCACCGTAGCACAAGGCCAAAGACACAAAGTTACATGATTCAATTTGGAATCGAAACTGCGATTTTTCTGCAACTTCATTGACCAACCAATTTCTGAAGTTCCGGTCAATGTTCCCCGGTTTCGAATAATCAGAACTGAGTTGCTCCATCAATATATCAACAACACCTCTGTAATTGTTCAGATTTAGCAATTTAACGCATTTTTCTCTTTCACTTTCGACGAAATTTAGGTTTTCTTTTTCGATTTTAACGACAATCCCAAGAGCAGCACAGAAACCTTGCAGCTCTTTCAGATCGATTTGGAAAAACTTACATTCCAGATTGTCTTCGTAGAACTTCATTAAACCACAGACCGTTTCGAAGCGCAATTTTGCTTGACTCATTTCCATTTTCAAAAACTTCAATTTTCCAATACAAAAATTCACACATGCAATAACATGTTGAAATCCAAATAAAAACAGCTCGGATTTACGATCGGGTGTCAACTGGTGTAACGAATCGCAACTATGAAGCGAATACCTTTCCACATAATAGTCGGAATTATTGATGAACATTTCAACTTGATTTGCGTTTAACTCCGCCTTCTCTGACATCATTTTTAGAGTGGCATTCAACTGTTCACTGTACGTAATTCTTGGGTCATTTAACATATTCGGTGCTATGTTTAAAGGCACAGCCGGTGGCTTAGTCAGCTTTCTGTTTTGCAAATGCACCTGTAAACACCAATAATGATAAAACAGTTTCGCTGTTACTGAAAGCGATTTCAAAACTTCATCGGACACCGATTTTGCCAATTCCTCGTCAGTAATTAGAATCAATTCATTGAGTAAAAGATTTACTAAATGCAAGGGCACATTTTTATCAAACTTTGTCAAATCCCATTTGAAGTTTGCAAAAACACGCAACGCAGTTGTTCGGAAGCTTCGTTTCAGCTTCGAATTCACTTCTGAACTTTTAAACTTGAACTGGTTTTGAGCAGAATTGACTAGTTCGACATTGCCGCTTTGCCTTTCGCTTCTCAGAGCCAGCTGGGTCACAATTTGATCTGGGGTCGGATTACAGACTTCAGTTTCCAAGTGGTATTTTAGTTTCAATGGTTCTAATGAGAAGGACACGTAGGGAATCGGGTCGCTGTCAGTATTCGTACCACCAGTTGCAAACTCTGATTCAATTGATTCTGTAAATGCAGGAAAAGGAGACGGACTTCGAATTGGAACCGGCGAGTCCATAATGATTTTCTGAAATCGTTTCACTTCTTGAGAAGCAAATCTGTATTTATTATGGGTCAATTTAATTGAACAGTTGCCGTATATTCTAGTTCAGCACTTTCTTTTGTTCATTTTTATTATGTCGGTTTAGTACTTTTTAATTAATGACATTGTTTATACCTACGGTTAAATCTCGTGAACATTTCCTTTTTCGAGAACTCTTTTTTCTCAAGAATTATAAACCAGTCTGCTTACTGTCTTACTTCTAAAAAAACGTTGATTAAATTTTAATTCTTCCATATCGAAAGAGTACCTATCCTGCTCTTCACATACTGTGATATCTTTATAGTACAGTTTATCATTTTTATTGAGTTTATTTACTGCTCTTTACTCTGCTGATGAACATGTCGTCTGTTCACTCTCGGGTGTCTTCCTTTATTCTCAAATTAGTCCGACCACTTCAATTTCCGTACTTCTCCACGACCATAGCGTGGCCCTAAATAAACGGTTGAAATTAGCAACAAATTCAATTGCCTCAAGACTGCCTCGGTGACCCTATTGACTCAAAGCTCTCACTGCGAGTGTTGGCCTTTTTTTTTAGCAGATGCTGATATAAACAAAATTGCTCCGATCTGATTACTTCTACTCAAAAAAAAATCTTTACCGGAGGTGTCACAGCGAAGATGGTTGTGAACACTGATTAGCGTTAGTTAGCGGGGGAAAAAAAGAAAATTACCGAGATTGGAAAAAAAACGCAAAGTCGCTAAAGATATGAAAACATTTGAAGATTCATCCTTTGTAGTTTACTCATTAGCGACACCTCTGATAGTTACCAATGATTGATGGACTAAAGGTCAACTCATACCTCAAAACTTTTACTCGTTGCTTGAGCGAGCAACATTTTCCAGCTCATAAAATTAACCAAAAGCGTGAAGGCCACAACTAAGGGAAAAAGCGGTTATATAAACAGACTTAAATAACTCGTACGTTTCAATGTTTTTCTTCGTGTATGAACGATTCCAACATTTTTAAAAATATTTTTTCGTTCCTTTTATGAAGATCTTCGACTCACCAGTCCTCCTGAAGCACATGCAGCCACTAATGCCCTCTTGCCTCCCTCCTTCTGCAACCTATTCGCAGCTGTAATCACCAGTCTCACACCTGGAACACTAATAATTACCAACAGCGGCCGAGTGCGTGAGTCGCACCGCCTTTAACCGGGGTCGTAAGTTCCAACCATATTTGGTCACGGTCGGAGAATTTGCCAATGTTACCCGCATCCTCAAGGTAAGAACGGCTACGGCAAAAGGACTGGCAGAACCTCCCCAAAGGAAGTATAGCCTAGTTTTCAACCGCACGCCAAGGACCAAGCGAAAATTCAAAATCAACATTTGAAATAAAAATGATTTAGGCCGTTAGCATGAACTGCCGAATTGCGTTTTAATTCTGTCGCCCAAAAACCCATAGTTAATTCTGACCACTTAGGTATCATATTCAAGGCTTAAGCCATCTTAGGGTAGGCGAACGCTGCGCCGAAAAAACGTGTCACTAAAACTTGAGCAAAAAAAAATTGAAAAAAATCTGGTTTCAAATAAAAACATTTTATCATGATATATTTTTGCCCTGCAAAAAACGCAATGTGAAACTTTTGAGCCGATACAATATAAACTGAACATGTTTAACCAAATTTACGGATCAATTGAAAAAAAATAACATAGCCAGCCAACTGACAGTTGGCAAAGAGTAATGAACGCAAGGAAACAGAAAAAAAACGGACTTGTTTTTTGTTAAAAAAACTTCAACACTCGAATTTTAAAGAAAAAATATATGCAATTACAGCTCTTTGAAACTAATGAACAATTTATGCTTACAGCTTGTTTGAAAAAAATTGACGAAAAATTCACAGTCTAAATAAAACATTGATCACGCTTTTCATTGCCTTTTACTGTTCGATAGTGGAGCTTGTCTTCCTTTTGAGGATATCAAGTGAATTTGAAAAGAAATCAAGTCAAACCGCGAAAAAATAAATTTGAGCCTGAGCAAATTTTAAGACTTTCCTGAAAAAAGACACTTATCCTAATCTTGCCGTTTGATTCTCGCTAACATCTCCTTTTTTGCGCTCTTTTTCTCAAGAATAAACATAGTCAACAGACAGTTCGAAAAGAGTCAAGAATGCAAGTAAATACAAAATCAATACTAAAATGTTTTTTGACAAATCTCAACTTTCCATTTTCAAAGAAAAAAATGTATGCCCGTAAAGCTCTTTGAATTCCACAAAAAATTTATGTTTGACCCTTTTTTTGATAAAAATTAACCCAATTTGAGAAATCCGAACCAATAGATGAAAGCTTTTTTCTCAAGAATAAACATAGTCAACAGACAGTTCGAAAAGAGTCAAGAATGCAAGTAAATACAAAATCAATACTAAAATGTTTTTGACAAATCTCAACTTTCCATTTTCAAAGAAAAAAATGTATGCCCGTAAAGCTCTTTGAATTCCACAAAAAATTTATGTTTGACCCTTTTTTTGATAAAAATTAACCCAATTTGAGAAATCCGAACCAATAGATGAAAGCTTTTTTCTTATAACACTTTTTCGCGACCTTTACACTTTTGCTGTTCCACAGTGAAGTTTGCCTTCCTTTTGAAAAAGGAGATGAAGTGAACTTAAAAAGAAATCAAACCGCGAAAAATCAAAATTGAGAGGGAACAAATTTTAAGACTGCCTAGAAAAAAAAACTCACTAAGACCTACAAGGGTCTTCACTACGTTCATTGCTCTTAAAAAAACGCAAAAATTATAATTAGACAAAATCGTAGATAGTAAAACTAGATTCAAGACAAAAAACTTAGTTACATTAAATTTTGATAAACAAATCTGATAGAAGGGTCCCAAAACTACACGTAAGGTCCCTAAAAAAATTGATTGGTATCTAATGCTCGAAAACAGCATGCGCATTTGTTTGTATGCCCAATTTATTTTTCGAAATAATGGCGGGACCTATCTTTCATTTCAGCTTTTCACAGGGACCCACCTGCCATAAATACTTGCACCTTAAATTAACAGAGTGTATTTAAGAACCTGTAGCTCCAAACGGGTGTCCGATTGAGAGACTACCACCCCATAGGTTCAGTTTGTCCATCGGTAGTTCGCCCACTTTGCCACTGGCTTTGATGTGGTTCTTGCAGAAGTAGTCCGAATTGAGAGCACGTAAATTAGCCAGGATTTGACCCTGCAACAATCAAACACAGCATGGATTTCCATATACAAAACGGAATTACAGTTTTCATTGTTACTTTCATAAATCAAAGTTTCTATCAGATATAAATTTAGCAGGCGAGGGTTAGCTCCTTTAATCTTGGAAAAACAGCCCCTTAATCACCCAAAGGATCCTAGTGGGTTAAATTTATCAAAATCAATTTCTAGAGTCATTGTATACTAATTTTTCAAAGCTGTGAAAATACTCACTGCAAAAGCTTCATGAAGTTCAAAAACGTCAAAATCTGTCAGTTTGAGTCCCGTTTTATGCAGCAGTTTTGTGATTGCGTAAGCTGGTCCCAGTAAAAGCTGGTCTTTCGGGTCTTGTGAGACAAACACGTAGTCCCTATAAAACAAAGCAAAACATACGTCGAAAGATACTCTATTGAACATTTTGTGAAAAAGAAGCGACCTTATGCTAATCGTTTTCATAACCGCACTGCTCAAAGGAAACACTTAAGTCCAATTTAACACTTCTGGTGTTAAATTGTCTGGCTACTGGAATTTTCATTATTATTAAATTTTATTGCATTTCTGTACTTCATAAGCTTACTGTAGCTTCTTACGTAAAACTCTAATTAGTTAAGACTGGGGGAAGTTTAACTGGGATAAAGTTTGTCTGTTCCCTCTTGAATTCAAGTATTGCCTTTCTTCACATATAAAAATATTTAAGCAATAAACCATTATTAGAAAACTTGCTAGCTCATACGGAAGCAAAACACATTTTTCGTTCCAATAATTTTTGCAAACAATTCTTTTTATTTCAAGACTCTTAAATATCTTCCAAAATACATCTTAACAGTTTCATCGACAGAAGTATAGCTCGAAAATTTGAACCTGAGATATGCTTTTGGTTTCATGCCTAACTTCTTCGCCTTCGCCTCACTTGCAATGAGAGCGGCAGAAGCACCGTCCGTTAAGAAGGATGCATTGGCTGCTGTGATTGTGCCCTGGGGTCCCTTGATAAATGCCGCTCTCAGTTTACCCATCTGGGCTGCAGTCGAGGGTCTGATTCCGTTGTCAGTACTCACTGGCTCTTTCAATCCAGGCACGAAGTAGTTCTTCATTCTATCCTCCAGCAGACCTTCTTTCGAAGCCTTGTCTGCAAAATTGTGCGACCTCGCTGCATATTCGTCCTGTTAGTTCATAATTAAGCACAAATTCAATCAACATGCTTACATTTAAACCATCATATCTAAGAGTTAACTCCAAATCCAGGCTCACGTGTCAATTTCCATCCCAAAGTCCTTTAAATTCTGGTTGTCAAAAAATTTCAAGAGTCTCCCTTTGCAGCTAATTTACGACATCCTTTTCTGACTGATCAACCCCTTCTTGAGGCTTATACACTTGACTTGAGAGGATACCACTCGCCAAAAAACGCAATTTTTCTGCTCAAAAACTTTTAAAAAGCCCAATGAACTCAAGACATTCATTCGTCAAGACAAAAAACAGCAACCTCAAAATATTAACGCTTCTTTTATTGCAGCAAAATGAAATGAATCTTTTTTCTTTGAACTAGTTTCAACCTGGTCACTCCTGGAGACAGAGAAGGCGGCACACAGTCTGTCGGCTGAGTGACCCATCGTCTCATTGGTCGAGAACTCCGCTACAGCTGGCAGCTCTGGCTTGTGAATATTCTTCAACAAGGTGAGAAGTAAACCAGCCTGAGCAGCCGCTCCCTTCGCCTAAAACACGGCTTACGTATTAATGCTTTCGGTTTTTGAAAAGTGACATATCAATTTTTGCAATTCCTTAACTGAACACTACAGTATAACTCAACTT